TATTCCTCGCGATACGCGTGCTTCATCTTTCGCGGTGCCAAGCCTGTGCGAGTCAAAGCCATCGCGCTTCTCGATGTTATTCAAGGTCGCACCGAGCTGGTCAACGTCACCGCCAATGCCGACGCCGTCCGCTTCTCCGTCGACAAGCGAGTCATCGATTTCGGCCAAGTGGTGAGCAACCTGCCCATTTTAATTTTCTGCACCCTTTATCTCGTCAGAGATGTGCCGTAATAAGACAACGTGGGTCATCAATTAGTGACCCACATTGAGAGAAAAGTATATGATATTTGGAACTATAATGATATAGTGACTAAATTATAATCCGAAATATCATATTTATAGTAAGTATTACCATAATACGTATCGGTAATAATTACGATATAGGCATAGTATAACCAACCATATAATATTTTTACTAAAAATTATAGTAAGTTAAACTAAAATTATTGTATGGATGCAAATATAAAATAGTAGGTAAAAGTAACTCTTTTATATAGTCAAATTTACTAGTCAATATTACTAGAATATTTGCTAAATGATGACAGATGTAACTATATGAATATTAAATCTTACTATATTTGCGAATGAGAAATTACCATATATGTGGTAAAAGTAACTAAACAATTATTTCAGACAATCATTGACTATATATTTGTGTTTATTCTACTATATTTTGCAGGTTTCCACGAACTATAAAAATATGGTTGACGCTAAAATTAACTATAAATTATAGTGAGATTATAGTTAATTCAACTGTACATTTCTATCAGTGCACGCGCATGGACGGCAAAGATCACGTATAATCGGCCCGGAGCGTGTTGACTAGCGATATTTATTATCTCTAATTAAATACGCGTATAGTAATGCACACATGGAAGCTAACTCAACTTTGTATCTCTATCGATCGCCATTGTAGATGTACGGCGAAACGTGCCGCTCGAGCTTCACTCTGGTCAATCGCAGCGCAATATCCCTCAGCTACAAGATAAACGAGAGGAATTTAATATCCAACGCGGGAAAAAGCCGCCGCGCAATCAGCGTGTTAGTGGTCGAGCCGAATAAAGGATCTATGGATCCGCTATCGTCGATGGAAATTGAGATCGAATTCCGACCGGCGCTGCTCGGCGCTTTCGCGATCGGGCTGGAGCTGCAAGTGTGTTGAGACACAGCCGCGTACAACGGCTATCCCGATGTCAAACTCGATGCGCGATGCAAATTATCGTGACGAAGCAATTACTCGCGTGATCACGAAACTGCCATGTACATTGAATACAGATACGGGCCTCGAAACGGGAATCAATATCGCTCGCGTTATCGATCGCTCGATCGTGATCGTGTAATATAGCGATTACACACATGGCAATTACGAAAAATTCTCTGGGCAATTTGGAGTTCATTCTCCCTCATCGGGAATGTCGAGGGAGGTCATTACTCATGGTGACTCTTCAGTGCTCAACTTCTATCTTTGGGATTAAAAGCTCAAAGGAAAATTCTGTCGAAGTAAAGTCCACTCGAAATTCACCGAGGAAAATAGTCTTGTCATTCACTTGGTTTGCGAGAAATCTTGATTCTTTTGGTCGCTTGCATCTCTAAAAACAAAAAAGAGCTATCGATGTCTCGACGTTTTTTTCGTCAAGGAAAAATTAGCTCCAAATTCAGCTCAGAAGATCTCTCGGTAGGATTGAAATCGCGTAAACTCTGAGACACCCTATATATATTTCTTTTTCTTCCTTTCAGGTGGCTTGTGTCATCCCGCAGATGATTACCGTGAAAGGCGTCACAGGTTACCCGCAAATTTACCCCTGCGTCCCACGCGACGATATTTTTCAGCGACACCCCGTCGAATTGGGATACCGGGCGATTCAATTATTAACTCCAGATTGTCTCGCGATGGTGCGAAATTTTGTCTGGGCGCGCGAAAAATAACGAGACTACCCTGTAACGTCTTGCGTTGCAGAAACGGCAAGTGACGGCGCGGTGCGATGACAGGCCGTGGAGTCGTATGTCCGAATGGGACGAGAGAATTTTGTCTAGTAAGATCGTGAACAATAGAGTTGACGCGTTTATGAAAAATGATGAGATTCAATGCAACAATATGATTAATAGAATGCAACATCGCAATAATATATCCGCGGATACGTCGAACGTAAAACTGGCGGAATTAACGAAACAAAGCGAAATCCCGAGCGATTTCTTTCTTCTCCCCACAGGTGATCTGTGGGAGCTGATCGTGCCCGAGGAAACGATCCCCAGCGTGGTCGACATCGAGATGGCGATCGACAGACTCCTGGCGACTCGCTTCATTGAGGAGAATGCTCTCGTCTTGATGAAACATTCCATTCCGCATAAAAAGGCCGTCATTCCTCATCTCCACGCTCCCGCATACATCATTGGTACGTTCGCGGGAATATTACGCTGATCTCGAAATATCTGCAATGCGACCTACGGCGGAATGGCGAGAAAAATGCGCGACCTCTGTAATTAACGGCGCGATCGACATTTTCAGACATGGGCTACGTCGCGATCGATCGCACGACGCGTTACTCCACGACGATTATCAATTGCGGGCCGTGGAACGCGGAGATTGCGACGAAGAAATTGGATAAGAAGCGACTCGAGAGCTCCGGTGTCGTCGTGCAATCGAAGAAGCTGCTGCTCAAAGTCGGGGAAACCGCACCCTTGGCTGTCACGTGGCAACCGACATCGGCCAGATATGCCGAGAGGAGCACGATGGAACAGCATTCGATTCATTTAGAAGTAAAGTCTTAATTGTTCGGGGCTGTTTCAACGTGACTGATTTCGGTCGACGTTTGCGTTGCGTGGACGCAACATTTGGCATGTGTCAGTGATTTAATAAATAAATATTAAACAATAAATAATATTAACTAATGAATAATAAATAATCACACATGGATACGTATAATTGAAGTAGCGAAGCGTGCTCGGGTATATCGATAATTTGTTTATTTTTTATTCCATTATTTTATACGCATGTGTGTGCACGTTATGTTCTCCTTTCCCCTTACAAGTAAAGAAGTAAACGGATAAATAGAGAAATAATCTGAAAATCAATCGTATTGCAGTCACATTTTGTATTGTTTCGCAGATATCCCGCGGTGCCACCATTCCGATAATTATAAAAGGCGTCATCACCTACCCATTCGTGACTCTGAACACCAAATCGTTGGACTTTCAAACTGTCATCGTGGGAGAGTGTCTGATGATGAGGGTTCTGGTGAAAAACGAGTGACGTATCCGTTTTCAGTGTCCGTGTTCCCTCTGCTGATTTTACGGAGAAACTGAGACGCGCCTCAATTTTCAGAGGCTTCATCAATTGTCGCTGGCAAGCGAGAGTGACGAGCACTCGCAGGAGACAGGAGGACTGCCAGTTTCATTTAAGCTACAAATCGGAGCTGCTTTCGCCGGGTCGCTGGGACGTCATCAACGTTTACTTCAAGCCACGTAAAACGGTACTTGCCGTAACGCACGTAGCGTCGCGTACTTGCACGATTATATGACCGTCGTCGATCGTTCGCAGTGTTATGCATCGGCGAAACTAAAAGTCACCGTCGAGACGAGGCTGGAGGAGCGAACGATAACATTGCACGGTCACGGAGTAGAGCGCGAGCTGCGGATAAGCGATCTCGACATCGATTTTCCCCCTGCGACGCCTTTCGTCGGAGCGCAGGAGAAGATATTTACGATCGAGAACGTCTGCGGGCATCCGGTGGAGTTTTTCTGGCATCATCTCGATAGGTAAGTGACGAGTCGCGTAAGAGTAACGAATTCGAAAGAACCACCGCAAGAAGTGCCCGTTCTTCAGTCCCCGATTTGTAAATTAAATTTTATGCGAAATGATAAGACATTAATCACAAAAAAGTTTTACATTGAGCATGCGATTGGTTTCAGAGATATAGAGGGTCAAAGTGGTTACTACCTAGAAGTTTGACACTAATAATCGTGCGTTTTATCGCACGAATTTTTGCGAAATTCAGTATCTATGGGTTCTTTGAGTTGCTTATTACAAATTTGATGATCAGATTAAAAGAATTCAAGATGGCGGATGTAATATAGCGGACACAAATAGTGAAACAATTATTTACTTTTATTAGAACTATTATGTTGTGGTTTTTTCGGCTAGTTGATTGCCAATTTTCTATCAGATTTACATTTACCTTTACTGCATTTGCTGCAATGCAAAAAAGCTTCTAAATATAACAAATAAAACTATCACGTTATCCTTTATGCGTCATGTAACGTATCAATTTGAATTTGGTACTTTTTTATGAAAAAACAATTAAAAAAATATACTTTTTCCACTCAAAAATTGTCGTTGAAAAAATTACTTTCGAAAACCTAATGGAAACTTCGCAATCAGCTAGCCAAAAAAACCACAATATAACAGTTCCAATAAAAGTAAATGATTGTTTCACTATGTGTGTCCCCCATGTTGAACCTGCTATCTTGAATTTTTTAAATCTGACAATAGATTCATAATCAGCAACTCAAAGAACCCATAGATACCGAATTTTGCAAAAATTCGTGCGATAAATCGTTATTAGTGTCATACCATTTCTTGGTAGGTAGGTAGGTGATCACTTTGACCCTCTACATCTCTGAAACTAATCGTATACTCAACGTAAAACTGTTTTATAATTAATGTCTCATCATGAACTATCTTTTGGCATGAAATTCGATTCCAAAATCGAGGACCGAAAAACGGGCAGAAAATCGACCCTTTTTGCGGAAGTTCTTTCCACGACGGATCGAAAATGGGAATTTGCAACGCGAAACGCGGCCGGCCTCGTGCATCTGTGGTAATCGCTATGATGAAAAACAAAAAGAGGAAAAAAATACAAGAGCATTGTTCATCTGTTTGCTCATTTTCTTTTTACGTCCAATGAGAGTCGACAGTGAGAGTAATGGGTGAAATGGCGCAGAATGCGCGCCATCCTGCGATGTACCTCATTGAATAAACGGCGACGCGTTCGCAGCCTCTTTCCGGAAGAGGAACGAGCGGCTGAGGCGCTGATTCGTTACTATGGAGTTAAAGAAATCCTATTACCGCCTCGAAAACTCGGGGAGAGAATGCCGTCGTTTTTAATGGAATTCTATAATAGCCTTGTGAGTGAGATGGCGCATGCTTTGTCAGCGGAAGCAATCGAGAAGGGAAATGTCTCTGCGTTGAGCGGTATGTACGCACTTTGAGAATAATCAAAGATAAACTCTCTCTCTCTCTCTCTCCCTTTCTCTCTCTCTCTCTCTCTCTCTCTCTCTTTCTTTCTCTTTCTCAAATCATGACGTTTAACTATAGAGATGGTACTATAATAATTGACATATTCGAAACTTTGAAGCTTCGAATAATTCGACTTGGGAACTTTGAATCCTTGAGAACTCTATTTGAAAATTTTAAATATCAAACTTCGTAATAGAACTAATTCCGTATATATTTAATTGTATATTTTCGAGTTCTCAAAGTTTCAAAAATTTCGGATATTTATGTATAGTGGGAAATATTGTGATTGTTCTAATCCATTGTTTCTTCTTAATTTTAATTTATGTCCCCGGGAGCGGCGTTTCCGAAAGATCCTTACTCTATGTTCTGCCTCAAAATGGATCAATCATAAAATCGTGTAATTTGCATATTGTACATTAAAATCATGCGATTTTGTACGAGCTCAGTTAATAATTTTAAGAGATCTGTTTTATCTGTTTTATTGTGATAATTTGGATAAGTACAGACTATTTCAATTTATTGTTATTTCTCTTCTACTTTTATACATAGAAATTTTATTTTACTTTGTCTGCTTTATTTGTACATTTTATATTTCATTTAAATATATCTATTGTCGTATTGTACTTGCAATAAATAAGTAAACAGAAGCTTTAAATATAATTTATAGTTGTACTCAACTGTCGTTTAATCGTAGAACAAAATCTCAAGAATTCTCCTCCCGAGCGGTCAGTATGGCTGACGAGGAGACCCGAAGAGATTGGACACATGCTCGCTTGTGAGTCGCTATTCGGTCGATGAATATTTTTGCGAAATTATCGTTATCGTCTGGTGAAAATATGACTGCATATTTGCAGGCTACATAGAGGCTCTGCGCGAAGAAGCTCATTTCTGCGAAAGGATGAAAGATCCCGTGAAGGAACTGTTTGACAGTCTCGAGAGGAAATCGATCCCAGAGCCCGACCCTGCCCGACCGGCCAAGAAAGTCTGCATTATTTTCCACGGCGCGCCGTTCACCGGTAATTTCGCGTACGACGGAAGTATGTTGGGGCGCGGGAGGTATATTTGCTACACTGCGCTGTCGTTATTAGAATATCAAGAGGCCGCATGCAGAAGCGCCAGGGTACTGGGAGTGCCTTTGCTGTGCATAGACAACGTTATGATTGAGGGAATCGCACTCGGCGACGACCAGTTCTCCGTCGAGTCGCGACGGATCATCGACGACGTGTATCGAGAATGCCTGTCAGAGCTGGAGAAATACAAGTAATCACACGAGAAATTAACACGTTCGCGCCATCGGCCCCAAATAGCACAAGGCATCGCAGAACTATTCCAGACACATTGAAAATTCCTGGAGAGTGCCTCAGGACGTTCTAAGTATAGACATCCTGGATGATGTCAGGACGTGTTATGTTGTAATATATGAAGTGTGACGCAACGATCTCTCACGAGAGATCGGGGTCACGTTCGTGTTGCGACGATTCTTTCTTTTCTACCTTCTGCTCCCCATATCCTTTTCGCGAATCGAGAATTATCAAGCTAAATCTGTTTTGCACAATTATGGGCAAAAGAAAAAAGGAAACGAGATGACTTGTAGGGAAAGTTCTCCCGAAATAAACCTCGATAGCGAACGTGTTAATTGGAAGTTGAATTTTTAAATAGAGAATCTCTGTAAGAGTTTCGTGTCCGAGAGAAAAATTCGAGTGTTTCCTCATTGAAGAGGGAGTAGATAATTTCGAATTGGTTTTTCACACTAGAGACGTCTTGAGAACTGCATCGCCAAGAGCAGAAGTAAACAAATTTGTAGAACAAAACGGAGAAGCGGTGGCGAACGAGATATCCTCTGAAGAACCGAAATCCCTGACAACCATTAAATCCAAGCCGAAAACGGCGATAGAGAACAGAAGATATTCCGAGAGCGACGTGACTAGTGAATCAATCATTCTACCTGAAGGGAGACTTGCAAAAATTCCACGCGAACAAGATTTGAAATTCCTGGATCCCGTGAGTCTTTACGAATGCAAGATTCAAGTGATCTCGCTGCTGCGGGAAAATCTGTCGCGTTATGTGGCAAAATTGACGAAAGACAAATCTCCCGGCGAGAGGAGGAGTGCCGGGGAGTCCGAGGATAACACTTTTCTCGGAATCGATGTTCGCTTATTAACTGGAATTCTTCGAGAAAGGTAGAGTTTAAGCGACTAAAATATATTTTCAAAAAAAATTTGATTATGGTATCTCGTCTTATCTTACATATACGTATTACACCGTTTTTGTCTTCCTTAAATTTTATTACTTAATTATTTTTCATTGACATTTATTAATCATTTTTTAATTTCACTGCTTACTTTGTCCTCGTCACGTTCACATCTCAAAGGGTGTCTTTTTACCCGTAAATAAATTTACAATAATAATCAATCATGCAAATACGGGTAATTTGTTGGGTATTATAAACATGTTTTCTATGAACTCTCTATATATTTTTTTCTCGTTATTTTTTTTTTCAACGAGCAGGCTATTGTTGCCGGGCTTCAAGAAGGGCTTTGTGCTGCAGACTTTGAAGAACGCATTTTTCAAAGATGAAATTGCAACGCTTCTCGTACTACTCGACATCGTCGGATACGTAGAATACTCGTTGTTTGTGACTTTTATGAATTCGATGCATAAATATATTCGAAGAATGGAGGAATTGCGAGAATCAGAAGGTGAATTGTGATCTAATAGATTATATCACTTGAAGATTATGTCTTTAAGTTTTTGCATCGAGTTCTCAAGTTCTTGCAACAATCGTACGAATGTAGCGAGAAGATTGGCGGAAGAAACTGACAAAAGAATCCAAGAAATCGACGAAATGTGGTTGTCTGAGTATGAACTACTTGCAGAAGATGAGAAGAAATTGTATCTGGAACGTACTTTGCCGATAAAGAAGCAAGAAGCGCTACAAAGGCGAACGGATTTTCTACAACAGATGACAGAGCTAAGGCGAAGAAAAGTATCCACTTTAATTTAACTACGCAGACGTATGGTCGGAATTTTCTTTCTTCCATTCTCGAGAATTTTAAATATAAAGACCTACATAGCTGGGTGCATGTGTGTAACAATGTTTTCATCTTGCTTTTCGTCGTCGACGAGAATATTGTGATTCTCCTATGAATATTACTCGTCGACAAAATTCATATTTTACAGAAATCATTGCCTGAATCTTCCAAGTCGGACACCGCGAAAAGTAGGAGAACGAATAAAATAACGAAGAGCGAAAAATTCAACAATCGGGAGGATAAATCTCGCGCTCCCAAAGCGCCAGTTGGCAAGAAAGCGATTCCAAATCTTAAAGATCTGAAAAACAGCGACGACGAGAAACCAGGTAATTCCAAAGTTGAACCTGACAGAGATTAAGTTGTTCAGCAAGGGTAAATTAGGGTCCCCCTCTTATCTGTCATCTGTTTATCTGTTGGGATCCTCAGAGAAGCGGGAAATGTCGGAAGAATTGGAAAATATTGCTAAAGCTATGGACGATTACCGCAATAATCTTTCGGCCATAGAAAACATCATCAAAAATTGGGATCCTCTTAGGAAGGCAATATTTCACGCGATCTTATCGTACTGCGCACCTTCGTATAAATTATTAAACTGGGAGTTATATAGGTCGTCATCGATTTTTAGGACTCGCTGTTCACGATAAACGGCAAAATCGTGCAAACCGATAAGCCAGGAGACAAGAGCCCCGCTTTCAGTGAGAAGGTGATGTATAATTTAGCACGCTTTGTATTTCCGATGAGCCTGCTGTGCGGAAACTCCCGCTATAATTTATTTCCGCAGACACACGCGAGCGAATTTCGTATCTGGTACGTAAATGCCACGGATCCGTGGGACCGGCTGATGTACGACGTGCTGGTTAACCAGATGAGCGAAAATAGCTCGGCCAGAGAAACTCTTCGTAAGCGACGCGATCACTTTTGAAATGAACCCCTCAAGTTAATGTAAATGTAAAATTTAACGAAACAATAATACTTCGCGCTTAGCCGTGGAAATTTCGCCAGAGCCGGATCTCCAGCCGAAGAGATATTACATTCTCAAGCCGAGTGACATACGGAAACGAGATGTTGGCAATGATGGCGAGTATATCACAACTCGTCTCTCAACGTAACGTGTTTTTGCGCGAGGACGAATTAGTTATTTCGCTCATGAGAATTTGTACTAAGGCTCTCAAGCAGCTTCGAAGCTTCGGGGGCATTATATTCGAAGAACGAGATTTCCAAGTTGGAATATTCCAACATTCGAACATTTAAACGATGCTAATCGCGCAGATCTCCGAACAAAATTCGAAGATTCGAAGCTACGAAGTTGGATTATACCGCAGCTTCGAATGTATGCAATACCTCGTCGACTGCGTCGACACTTTTATCATATTAATAATTATTTATATTATATTTTGCTGTAGTAGGATATTTGTATAATTTACTGAGATACTTTTTGTTCAATTTTTTAAATTTTATTTTAGATTATTCTTTTCTGTTTCAATCTCAATATTAACCTTGACTTTTTGTGTTTTTATTAATCGAGTTATGTCTTGGAACAGCGTTTTCATGCTGATGTCTCGCCTTTCGCGTACATTCGTTTCGTTTTCTTCTCTTGTGTAAATAGTACTCATTCGCACAATCTAAAGTTATTATTGTTGCAAATAATTAGTCGCAATCGTTGGTTAATATTTCTTACCGATTCGTTATTTTATATCGTTCTTACCCACTTGTTACTTATTACCCCTTACTTACTTAATATCCCTTCTTATATTATCCATCACTCATTGATTAATTATTTTATACCGTTAATCAGGAACCTATCGAATCGTCTCGTTGTGCGCGATGCGCGAGCCCACGCTCGCTGGGATCGATTCTTCGAGAGCGAACGCGCTTGATAACCAAGAGAATCACGTCGAGAAGGCGAAACGAAGAAAACGATCGCGTCTCGCCGGTAAAACCGCGGACGCTGTGTCGTTGAACGCATCCACGATCGGGAGCAAAGACACCGTCGAATCCAACAACGCGAATACAACAATGCTCGAGGAGACGCTGAAGCCACGATGGATCTTGCAGTCCGGCGAGAGTCAGAAATTCAAGATCCGATATCAACCCGAGGAAATGGGAACTCACCGACACACATACGCGTTATCCGTCATCGACGGCGATGATATAACTTACGAGATCAATGTTAGCGGAATCGCGGATGTCCCCGGCCTGGATATGAATCCTAATGTCGTCTTTTCAAAAGTAACAATGTGATCATTCATAATTCAAAACATTCGACACGAGAGAATTTCGCCGAGTCCCCTCTCTGTGATTTTTATCGAGCTATCAAGGATATTGACTGTTTCCCCCTTTCAGCAGTTTAACCGAAGTTAAACTGGAAAAGTTTCTTAGAAAAAAACTTTCTTAGAAAAATGTGTAAACAATGGGTTTGTTAGACTAATGAAATGCGCGATTCGCGCAGGTGGAGGAATCGAAGATCGCCGAAATACATGATCCTGCGTACTTCTCCGACACTGGTGCTTACGATTTCGGTTCCTTGCTGGTGTTTCGAAAGGACAAGAGGTGCGTTTCGAAGTATTTTCTCTAACGAAGATTACAGACGCGTAATTTGCAAACAGTGAACATCGTCGCGAGGCGGAATTCAAATTCCGCAACGTATCCAAGGTTGATGCGGAGGTGTGCTTCTACTTAGAGGAAAATATACCGGATATTTTCATCCTGGAAGAAGAGAAGCTTCACATTCCAGTGAGCTGTAGATATTTTTGATTCTTCCTTTACATTGTATTTTTTCATACAATCGTCCGACCAGTAAGAGGTTGATGAAAAGTGTCGCTAGATGTTGGGCACGATAATTACTTCTTCACACCGTCAGAGCCGTCTCAAATATCTTTCTTCGTTTGGAAATTACTTGACGTAATTATATAATAAATACAATTTGCATTTGCAGGCTGGACAGCGCGGATCGCTGAAGATATCGGCAGGCGTCACGAAACTCGGCTCATTTACCGACAAGCTGCACATATGCGTGACGAATAATCCTCACGTCGATACAATCCAGGTGAATATAACACGTCGATAAATTAAGGTATTTTGCATAATTTAAAATAAATGTTATATTATTTAAAATATATATTATTTAAAATAAAATAATTCGTTTATATAAAATATGGTGAGGTCGTCGCAGAACATTGATGTTAATGCGACTTCTTCTATAATAGCTTCGATGCAGCGGCTCGAAATTGGATATCGAACTCGAAGACAAACAAGTGTCCTTCGGCCAAGTGCTCCTGTATAGGAGAGACTTTCTCACTCGTGCCATTCGAAACAGATCCCCGGTTCAGATCCTTTGGCGTCTAATGCCCGATGAATCCTTAGATCCTCAAATATCATTCGCCCCGATCAGCGGAATCGTGAAAGCCGGGAGTGATCAAGAGATTGAATTTTGTTACCATGCCAGCAAAGTGAGAGATCGCATTAAAGCAATAAATATATGGCGTTTATTTATTTGAAATTTAAATTCCTTAAGAAATTGTGAGATATTTTTTCAACATGATGACAATTTTTGAGCGGAAATTGTTGGCACATCTTGGTTCGGTCGATTTTTGCATTTTTTTTTTTGGCGATTGGCTTTGCTGTTGGTTTTTCATTTGTGAAAAAGTAAAGATGAAATTTTTCTTCAAAAATACAATTTCTGCGGCTTTAGGTTGGAGCGGTCGACGCGAGTTTGACTTTCGACGCTTTCTTCATCGACGAGAACGATGTGGAATCGATTTTTACGGAAAGCCTCTCTCTATCTGGCGAAACGTACGACGTGGCTGTTGACATTAATCATGTAAATCCAATTGATTTAAAGTACGTGAAAGTTGGTTGTCCCACAAGTGCAAACTTCACAATAAGCAATCGGGGAAATTACGAAGTAAAATATGTGTAAGTGTAGAGAAAAGTATGTTTTCGCGAGTTTGTAAGATATTTAAAAGCTAACATGTGCTGAAATCCTCATCTCCATTTTCGTTTAACGCTATCGATATTCGTTCGTGCGACGTATCTTTTTTTCACAATTATTTTCATGTTAAATTTATGATACATTATTGGTATGCTGTTCGTTTAGTATACTTCTGGATGAGCCAGACAAGCTGGCTATGATCGCACAGGATTTGTCTGCCAAACTGAAAGAAAATATCGAAATTAGTCCTGCGTCTGGTTTCATCGAATCGCAGAAAGAGGCAACCGTACAAGTACTTTGAAGAAATTGTTTGTCTAATAATAAACGCGAATCAATTGGTTGAAATAAAATTTCGTTCCTTTTCAGATAACTTTTCGACCAAGAAACGAAATTACGCTGAAACAGTGTCCGATACTTCAATGTCATCTTCTTGATATAAATAAACAAGCTGCCATGGTTGCGAAAATTCCACTGACTGTTTCTCTAGTTGCTTATTACACTAGGTCAAGTATTATCTTTAGAGAAGATTAATAGCATAAATATTAATAATACATTCAAAGTATTAATAGTATATTTCTAAATTTTATCATATTTCCGAACGAAAGATTCTTTCTCTCGATTTTTTCTCGACTAGATTACTTATCTTTTTCTTAGCTGATCTCAATTTTTATTAGTAAATTATATCTTAGGGATCAGATCAGTATATTATTAGAAGACAGATATCCGTTCGATATCGTGTTAATTGTTCTTTTCAATCATAGATTCCGCGTTTTTCCTTACCCCGAAATTAATTTCGCCTCTCTCGCCGTGTGCACCGAAGAGACGATGTACTTGCATGTGGAAAATATTGGACAGTTCCCTCTTCATTATTTCATCCAGAAGACACCCATTGAACACCCGTCGGTCACCTACATGACGCAGATTAAGAAGGAGAACATAATCCAAAAAGATTCCGACAAAATGACAGATAATTTAGACAGCAAGGATAAAAAGCAGTCGCCGATCGAAAGCTCAAGCACCAAGTAAAAAAAATGAAACAATTCTTTCTTCTCCTTGTTCGAAAAATTTCTCTGTCAAGAAATTCAATTTTCTATACTCTTTTCGATGATAAATCAACTCGCACTTTGTGCGATAGTGATGTATGAACGACAGAGTATGATTGCGATTACTTCACTAATTCGTTTCCATGAAATATGCAATAAAGGTAAACTTGACTGAAAAGGTTCGGTAATTTTTTCGGCCAAAATACTTTTTGATCGCGAGCTGAATTTTTTAATTGTTCCGATACTTAAGTGACGACACGTAAGAGGCGTAGCTTTTGATTTAGTAACGTCTTATTGTTCGCACAGGAAAATTCCAGAATTTACGACCAAGTTGCAAGTCGGTCCTTTTACCGTAACCAAGACCGAGGGAGACGTCGCGCCAGGTATAGTCGATACTGTAACAATCGAATGCTACCCGGAATTCGTTGGGTCGCAAGAAGAGCAAATACTAATTTTCGTGCCAGACAGCGTGCCCGAGGATCGAAGCGGCAAATTAGTAACGCTTTCCGTAAACTCTTGCCTACCTAGCGTCGACCTTTACAATCTTGACGCCATGTTCCGTGAAAATTACATAGTGAATCGTATCCAGGATTTCATCTGCCCAAAAGAGGTGACTTTCCTGTTTTATCAATTTGCAAAAATGCAAAGTTGCCACATTAATCATTTATTATAACAGATTGACGCGCATACTATATTCGCTCGTCAAGAGAGACGTCTGTATTTTCGGCACATCAAAGTGTATCACACCCATACAACGTATTTCGAGCTTTACAACCGAAACGTTATACCTGCCAACGTAGAAATTACCTTATACAAAGAATCATCTTCACCGGTCATCTTTCAACCCGACGCGTTCGTAGTGGCACCCGACAAACAAAGCATCCCTCCGATGAGCCAGAAAAAATTTGCCGTGACGTTTAAGCCGACGTTACTAGAGGTAACGTTTTCACAAAAGACAAAGCGTGCGATGCAAAGGGACGAAATTCTAGAGCCGAAGAATGTATCCTTGAGGTTCCTTACAAACTAACAGCGAAATTCAGCTTCCCTAAAAAAGGAACGGGGAAAATTCCAAAAGTTAGAAAAGATTTTTAAAGAGCGGAGGAAGATAAATGGAGAAACTCTCTCTCTCTCTCTCTCTGTCGCTCTGTCTCTCTCTGATGGAATAATTTAATAATATATTTTTCACGTCGGCTTTCCACCGTGTTCAGTGTTATGTTCTTAATTACAGACGAGTCACGCGGTCCTCGGGATAGAGGTCGAGCAGCCGTCGCATTTGAAGGACGAAAAGTTCTCCGTTAAATTAACGGGACAAGCTTGCGTGCCAGAAGTGACGATAGTAGAGCCGCCGAATGGAAAACGAGAACGAGCTGTGCTCAACTTCGGCCGTACGCTCGTAAATGATACCGATACGAAAAGCTTCGTCTTCCAAAACGTCGGTGTAGTATCGGCGAAAGTGATCGTCGAGATTTACGAGGATCCGAAATGCCTCTTCACTATCGGCTCTCACGACGATAATGACGAGGATTCGACGGATGGACGGGATTACGGAGCAGAGCGAAGTGAGTTCGGCTTTTCCTTACGATGAAATATACTGAACTAAATACGTATATTAAATAAACTGAAATAACGATCATAAACTCAAAGAGGAACATCCGATTTTCCGACAACGAAACATTGCAGCGTTGGGTGGTAATCGATGCCTCGTGGTTCACTTAACGCCCGGACAAACGGTTTCGCTTGACGTGAAATTCAGCCCGCGGGAGGTCGGCAAGTACGTGGGCTTGGTGCGATTATTTGTAGCTGATAATCCCTACGAGAATCTGACGATCGACCTGAAGGCTGAGGTATACGCGGAATTAATTGTACTGGAGGGGCTGAAGCTCGTGAGTGCAAAGTCCACCGTCGTTGTCAACGAGAGACGGGAATCAAATTTCAGATTGCGAAGATCGTCTTCACGGTCGGACAGCGTGACGGGAGGTAAAGGAACTCAGGAAGAGAAAGATAAAGAGAGATATAAGAGCAATTATACAGCGGTTGTATATTTGCCACGGTCGGCCGAGATTTCTGACAATCTCAGTAATAATTTCAGACACATTTCTTTCTTCTCATAAATAATAAAATATATATTTGATTAAAGTATACTTTTCACATATATTCTCTATAATTTGCCTCACTGGGAATTTAATTTTAAAATACGAGCTTTTTGACTGCTACATCGGGAAATTTTATTTTCGATGTCGCTCTTAAATTTGCTTGTTATTTTAACATGCTAATAAATTAGCATTCATTATTCAGTGAAATGAATTAAATTTCTTAAATTACATAAATTAGGTAAATTGAGTGAATTAAGTAAATTAAATTATTTCTATTATTCCTTTTTTAATTATTATTTATTAGATCATTAGATTATATTAAATGAAACAAATAAAATGTATTCTCGAATAAGAAAGGAAAACCCGTAGAAGTTAATCCGCATGGGACAGTTCTCTGTCGTAAACCAACCACGAGATACCTCGTACTTGGCAGTCAATAAGTTAACCATTGATTTATTATCTTCACCGGTTGTTTATTAATTTATTTATTACCTTACAGTCTCGTTATCAACTGCGCTACCGGTCTCGTTGACCTACAAATTGGAGTACGGATGCTGCTTCGTTAACAAGATATACAGGAAGAGCTTCAAGATCACCAATAAATCGGCGGACCGGCATTTGCGATTCCAATGGGGCGCGCATCCCAACGTTGTATTCACTCCGTCCATCGGTCATCTCAAGAGTTCGACTTGCAAGGAAATCATCGCGACGTTCCTCTCCTCGGAACCGGCGAGCTACGTCGATGTAATAAGATCAAATTTGTATTGGTCTGTTATGCAATGAGTTATTTTCGGATCTCTCAGGTAAAATGAAACGATTGTATTTTTATGTCGTTACAATTCTGCGAAAGAATGAATTATTTTAATTTACGGCTCTGCGCTATTTTTCACACATATAGTTTCACAAAATTATAACAAAAAAGTATAATAAAAATATAAAATGTATAAAATGGATATTCTTTTATAATTCTTTCTGTGTATATTTCTGTTTCTATATTTCTCATCTATTTATTTATTTGTTCTAATATTTCTATAAACTTTGTTTACTCCTTTGCCTGCTTCCTTATTTATCAATTCTTTCTTATGTGCAAATAATGTAATCATTTTTTATATTTTTATTTTTATTTTTATTTTCGCTCTACTTTAACATTTTTTAGCTAAAGGGCCATTAATAATAAATTGATCATTTATTGTTTATTATAATCTTGTTTCATTGTACCTGAAATATCCGAAATTACTCTCTTATTAGATCTCCAATATTTCACAAACGGTTACGATAACGGTCGATAGCGGCGGCTGATGCTCCCGATATTTGCGTCTCTGCGGAGCATTCATTTCACTAACACCACGATGGAGCACGAGGAGGAGGTTAATAATCTCGTAACGACTATTCAGACGCGTCTCGACTGTACGGTCTGTGCGATCGAGCTCGTCGATCCCGCGAAAGAACCGTGTTGGGACGATCGGGAGACGGAGGTGTGCTGGGTGGCGATAAATTCCAACGATGGGGCCGGCGAGCAAGGAACAAATGAGGGAACGTTCGCGAGAAAAGCGGTCGAGCCCGTTAACGAGCCAAGCCACGAGATCGTACCTGGCACGACGAAGTACATCCAAGTGTTGCTTAACGCGACCGTGGCATTCTCCAAGTACTCCTGCCTCGTTAAGGAGATCAATTTCAAGGACACGTTAATGTTTCAGGTTGCGTAGATCCTGTAGACTTCTCTATTTATCTCTTGCCTAAATCTTCACGCAATTAGACTGCGCTGCCGATTCATGGAAATCTTAGCGGGGGTGCGTTTTAACGCTGGAACTACTAAATGGTCGAATGACTGCTTTGTAATTTCTTATAAAAATTAATCGAACTTTTGTACGATCGGTTTCTAATTTTTTATTTAATATGCTCAAATTTTTTTATATAACCGGATTTTTTATTGAGAATACTCAAATTTATACAACGATGCATTTTATATTTTTAATGAACGTTATTTAGTAAAACTAAAAAGCGATAAGTAAACATTTCTGCCTTTGCACAACGTATTAAAAAAAAAAAAATTTGTCATTTTCATCGCTCCGGTAGAAATAAATCACGTTAATCGTCGATAGTTTCAACGTTGTACGTTCTCGAAAAGGAATACTTTTCGCGATGTTTTTGTTCCTTAATTTTCTTTTTCCTTGAAATTATCATATTTGGACACAATAACGTTTTGAATATTTTAAACTTTTGAAATTTTTACCGATATGTATCGCTTCGCTCTTCCGTATTGCGTAACACGACTTGATCGTCAGTCGCAGAATTGTTCGTTGTGATTGTAGCGTAGGTCCGGCCATTGAATCGAAAACAAAAAATAGGAATTATATAAACAACTTCACAATCACTCGCCCGTATCGAATTTAAATATTTGTTCATAATAACGCGGGGATTTTCCGAATTGGTGCGTACACGAGCATCGCGTGGCATAAATATCACGGAATACCGGCGGTAAAATACAGACACTGTCGTTGTTGGTTTTATATCCGAGCAATTCCAGCTGTTGTTCGTTAAATATTAAAACTACCGTGTGCGTGTGCAGCATTCGACTGATTTTCCATTAAAGTTGGCGTAATACGTGAATCTCTCTCTCTCTCTCTCTCTCTCTCTCTCTCTCTCTCTCTCTCTCTCTCTCACGGGGGTAAGAAAATAAAAATCTCCGTTTCTCCACCACCTCGAAGTATGAACAAGATGCGCTTTTCTTGCCTGATCATCCGAATGACTCAGAAATCAAGATTGAACGTGCGCTGCTCGAAAAAATCAAAATCTAGCAATTGCTGTCATTTCTTGAAAATCATAATGATGAAATCCGAATACCGTGACGATATTGCCCAATATATGATAACTTTCCTAAAGCGTGCGATTATTTCGAGAAGAAATTACTACTCCGAAACGTTTCGACATTTAGATTTCGGTACTATAACTTTTCATGTGGAATCACGTGGCGCTTTTCAAATTTCGTCTCCGCCAAATCAAGCAGCGCGAAGATGCGCTTTTCAATTTGAATATCCGCCAGTTTGAAATACAACATGATCGTGATTAGCACCTATCTCCCGGCAGACGCGCGAGTACGTATTCACTTTCTCGAACACCGGCACAGTCGACGTGGAGTACACGTGGCAGATAAATATGGACGAGCAGTACCCGACGAGACGGACCGCAAATTATTCGCGAGCCACGCCGAGACCACCACGAGCAGATGCGAGGTCCGCGACTAATTTGTCCGCACGCCCGACTCGTGAGTTCCATTAGAGATCAATATGAGGTCAGCTCCGAAATCGATCTCGGAAATTTTAGTTTTAGCTGCGAGGTTGGTAGGTCGGTAGAATCAGCTGATCAATTATCAATCAATATCGCGCACAGAGAAAACGCATACTTCTACCGGGAGAAGCTTCTTCGTCGTCGTGTGCCGGCAAATCTCGTTACGAATTAAATTACTTTTTTTTTTCCACAGACGACATCGTCGAGATAAAAGCATTTGCCAAAGCTTGCGTCCCGTCCGATCTCTTCAGCAGCAGAGCCGGATTGACAGAGCGCAGTAGCGACAGTTGGTTAGAGAGCGACGACTTGCCGTTCGGGATTCAGCCCGAAAAAGGAATCCTGCCGCCGGGTGAATCGGCAGAATTCACTCTGCGATTCTCCCCCATGGATGTGTTCGACTACAGAGCGTGTCTCATTTGCAAGTGCGATCATTATTGCGACTCGTTCGCTCTGACGATCTGACGCTTTGAGCAACAGAAATGCCCAAGCGCAGCGGATCTATGAGATCTACGTAGAACGAAATTCGCGGCTTGCGATCGCGAATTTCGTTCTGCGTAGCGCACGCGAAAGAGATGCATGCATTTCCGTTCGTCCATCGGATCTACCGTCGACTGCGTCGTGATACGAGGTTTTATCAAAAAGTAACGAGAATTTTGAAATTGCGCGCGCGCTGTATCTTGTCTATCTTCAGCTGATTCTTTCTTTGTGTGTTGGTAGCACTACCAGTGACGTACGCGTCAATTTTCAGGCAGCTGCGACGTTTGGTTTGTGTTTGACGAGCGAATGAGCAAGACGTGCTTCAGTGTGTTTGGCGATTTTTTGTGTGGCGAAATCAGTCGGATCAGAGAGTCTGAAAGTTGTCTGAAAGTTTGTGTTAAAAACGGAATTAAGTGCAGCGAAGCGTTCAAAATGTTAAAGAAGGCCTTTGGCGACGATACTATGTCACTTTTTCCTGTGACTTTTTCCTATTTCCCAAACTCAGAAGGACAACGTTTTTCAACAGTAGATGAGATAAAGGCGAAATCGCAGATCCAGCTCGAGACGATAACCTAAAGAGGCGTTCCACCAGTGTTTCTCAAACTGGAAACTACGTTGGTATAAGTGTATAATATCACAGGGGGCCTACTTTGAAGGAGATGGGATTGACATTGAAGATTAAATAAATACTTTTCGAGAACATTAAAAATTCTCGGTACTTTCCGATCAAACCTCGTAAACTCCCGATACTATTTGCACGCATGCATATCCGTTTATCGGCCAACAGAGTGGAGAATCCCGACCCGAGACTGAACGAGTTGGCGATTCCCATTGCGGGAAGAAGTTTGCTGCCGTACTGCCACTTTGACGTACCGGAAAGCAACTATCCGTCCGACGGTAGGCGCGACGCGAAACTGCCAGGACCCATCGATTATCAAGCGGCAGGTGATGGTTCGCTTCCGGCAGATACGAGAGTAATTGAGTTCCACGTGGTCGGTGTCGGCGAGACTCACGTGAGGTATGGCCGATGTGAGAAAAGCGAGCGAAAACGCGGGTACAAACGCGCGAGCGCGAATAGCGCGGAAGCCTCAAAGTCATCTCAAAGTTTCTTGGGCTGAAATCTCGCTCGAAGAGCAGAGTGACGGTTCTCACAAATCGAGTGACTTCCCATTCATATAGAAGGATTTTTCACTAATATAGAGTGGTTCTTCATTTGCGTACGAATTCCTCAGCCGGAATTGTCGAGTAAAAGTCGCTCGGAAAATTAATCCAGGATACAAAGGGTTAAGATGAATTTCACTCGAAACGAGAGACAGTTCATTTTCTAAAGTTATCGAATCGTAATCGCGGTACTGAAAATACCGCCATGTATTGATAGAAAACGAAAATCGATTTTGTAATTCGTTATAAATAATAATACTCTCTTTATCAGAAGGCAGAAATCGTCTTGTTCGAAATTACAGAAAGTTTCGAATGTTAAATCCAACATCGGACGATTATCGTTTCGCATGGAGTGATCGAACCCGTCACGCGGAAGGCGAGATTCCGAATTTTCACTGCGTGTTGCCGGAGGGAGTCGCCGAGCGTGGAAAGCATGTTGAGTTTGCTTTCGCATTTCTCGCAGAGCGCGTCGGCACCTTTGAGTCCTTTTGGTTATTTTCCATCGAGAAGTACAACTTGCAGTGCCTCTTCCTGATAGTAGCGATCGTCAGAGAACCGTCTGTTTATTGTCCGCTTGTTTACCTGAGGACGAGACCGACTGTACTGGGTTAGAAAAAGAAGGTTGAGCCACGGGAAAATTGCTCGGAACTTCGCTCAACAAAGTCCTGCTATACTTCCTAGGTACCAACGTACGGGACTCGATACGTATAATCAACGACGAGGGATTCCAGATGCCCTTCGAAGTCACGCGCGACTCTTTGTATTCCGAGGGATGCCTGCAGTACTTGAAGATAACGCCTATGAGCGGAATTTTAAATGCGAGGAGCGAGAAGATTCTACGGTAAATACGAGAGACAGCAAGTTGACAATTTTTAGAACGCTCGCACTCACGTACTTGCGCGACTTGGCAGGCTCGAGTATCAGCCCACTCTGGTCGGTGAATTTCAATTCCCTGTAAAATGCGCCGTGAAGAAAATGAAGGCGCCGCTCACCATCCTCGTTACGGCGATTACGTACGACGTCGTGGTGTCGGTTACCTATGTCGACCGGAACGGCCGGCTCGTGCGACTCGAGCAGGATCAAGAAAATATCGTCGACTGCGGCAGAGTGGGTGTCGAGTTGTTTTTAATAAAAATTAAAGACCCGAAAACACAGAATTGTACGCATTGTACCTGTGTATATGAATCTTGTCTCCATATGGCCATGTTTAATTACGTGCAACTATACATCCACGTAGAAACAAATAACCGTCCTACAAACACAACCGAGAGCTCCTTATGATTGTGGGAGCTCGCGATGTGGATTACTTGAAAGAAACTGTCCCTTTCTCTCCACTTAACAGCATTTTCTCGATGCGAACGTTTACTACCGTGTAACACGATTGTATACGTGGCTGTGTAGAAAGAAATTTCATATATGAGCTATATATAATTAATATATAATTATACGTAATTACATGTAATTTATATATAATTATATATAATTTTATGCAATTATATATAATCTTTTTCGCCCATGAAGAGCAGCAGTATATTTTTTTCATGATTATCAAGTGATCTTTATCTTTAGCTAATGCTGAAAGTGCCCGTCGTGATCACGTTCGAAATAACGAACTCGAGCGAAATGACAATTTATTATTCCTGGGATCTCGGCATGACATCGGAAATAGTTAGTAGAAACATGTACACGCTCGCAGTGTCCGAAAAGCAAGGTCACGCGACCAGCGAGTCGCGAGTCGTCTGTCGTCTCACCGTAACAGGGTTGAGAAAAACAGTGGTAAAAGGTCATCGCGCCCTGTTGAAGGTATTGCTCTCGTGTGTGTTTAAACGTTAGTAATAAGTATCTTTTACGAAAGAGAAAAAAATATACAAATTCAATAAGGCGCGTTTCTCATTGTTAATGTATACCAATTTTAATTCAATCGCAGCTTATAATTATAATTTCTTTCTTTTATTATTATACTTTTCTTTCTTATTTTTAGATTTATTAAATTTTTTTAATTTTCTTCTCGTATTCGACTTTTTTCTGATAGTGCCCTGATACACATCAGGGGTGATTCTCTTAAATGAATAAATAAATAAACAAGTAATAATTGCAAACACATTTTATTTTGATTCTCACAAGCGTCGGATATGCATAAATAATGTATAAGTACTTATTACATAAGTACTACAGTCTGACAAGTATTCTCTTTATCCGACAGAAATTTCAATTGAAAAAGATCTCCTGAACACGTTCCTCATTCCTCATTCCTCATTCAGATTTCGAAAGGGCCGACGTACCGATTAAGCCTGAAAGCGACTGCAAATAAGCCGTCTCTGGAGTTCAGTTTCAATCATCACGATTTCGGACCTTGCTACGTGCAAGACACCTTCGCCGCGGTTCAGCATCACGTCGATCTACGTATTACGAATTTCGACAGTGTCCCGTACATGTGCGTGATCCGTTCGCTGCGTTACGTACAATGCGGATCAATTAAGGCGAAATTTCGGTTGGATCTTTTCAGGTTGGAATGCGAATTCGAGGAGAAGCCGCACATCTCTGTGACCCTTGACGCCCTTTCGGAAAAGATAGCTGCCCGGTCGAACGTCGTCATCCCGATAAGATTTCGCCCATTGGAACGGATGTGCTATCGCGACAAGCTGCGCTTCACAATCGACTCGGCGATTGAGAAGGAAATCACTATTACAGGCGAAGGAATCGCGTATAAGGTGCATTATCGTGTATCGCAGTACAAACGTAGCGCAACGTAGTACAAAGTGTATTAGAGAAGTTTTAATTTAATTCACTGCACTGCATGGATGTTAATTCCATGCACGCTAGCTGTCGTAATTGCATCTACATGACGCATCGACTGCCAAGTACGGGTTATCTTGCGCGCAGTTAAGGTGTGCGAATTAACCAGCACATGTTTGCTTTCTTGCGGCAATAATTTTTTATTGTGAATTTTGCCGAGGGATAAATATAATTATTATTTTTAATTGGTTCAGTGATGAGAAATGATATCTCTGTTACCACAATTGTTACCATAAAAAATAGATTTGCTCAAACATTCATTTGTATTAAAATTCAGTTCAGATAAAGAAACGAAATTTTCCACCTATTAATATATTCTATTCTTACTGACGGAAAATTCAATTACACCAATGGAATTATTTTTTCCGCATGTACGGTCCGCATACGGCAGTCAACGTGTTCAATAAGTTCTACTCATTGTCGGACAGCTACTCATAATTGGACAGTTTATCGTATCGACGTAAGAACTCGTCCTCCAGAGAATCGTAATTATTCCGACAGGTGCGTCTGGTAAACACGTGCGACAAGTCGGTGGATCTTGGTAATCTATCAATTAATAAGACGATCATCAAGAAAGTGCCGGTGATAAACGACGGACGTGCCGCGCTCGAGTTGCGGTTCGATCTAACGAAACGCCTGTCAGGATTCGAGTCTCGCAGAGGAATTCAAGCGTGTCGGGAGAGAAGCGATCCCGAGGACTCCGAGGTGGATCGCACGCGTGCTTCGGTCACAGAAATACAAAGCGCAGACACAGACGAGAAAGCTCTCCAGATAATAGAACCCGACCTGTCGTCCGAGGTTCTCAAGATCGAACCAGCAGGATCGATCGTTCTGCGGCCAGCAAAAATCGTCCATGTCATTGTTAAATACAAGCCCACGCATAGAATGCGACCTTTCGTCGCTCAGGTGGCATATCAGGCCGACTTCGTCGTTCAACCGTTATTCACCTTATGCGGCAGTTGCATTGGAAAGGATTTCCGTCTCAGCAAGACCCACCTTTCCTTCGGATTTGTGGTACAAGGTTGCACAGATGAGACGAAGATTGCGCTGTTGAATACGGGGGAAATTGGTGCAAGGTTGTTCCTATAAAATCTCCGTTTGGAATACCTTAACCATATAGAACATTTCTAAACGGACTTTTTCTCGTTTAGTCCGCCAGACATTTCCCGAAGATTTCTTTTCTCGTCGTCATTTTATGTCAGAGACGATGAACGAATCGTGAGACACTTTGAATGTTTGCATAATTATCAGTTACAAATATTAATTCGCCGCGATTGTTATTCCGGTGCTTTATAGTTATGAATATGCAAAAAGTGCACACGTATCTCAAGTGCCTTCAATTTCTCTCTTTTATTTTATTTAATTAAATACTCGATGTAAAAGAGAGTTCCTCATATAATTCCATAAAACATACACCGGTTTCATCTGTGGAGAGCGACAGTGCAAATTCCCACAATATTTCTATTCCGATTGCAAACAAACCATTTTTGGCATAAAAATCGGATTTTTAATCAGTGCTATAGCGAGAAAAGTTATTTTAGGACAAATCTAGGCATTCTACCCAGACAGCACAATGTCCGAAACTGGGACATAAGACTTCTTACGTCTAGACATCTCAAAGACGACTTAAACACGTCTGAAAGACGTCTTATGTCTCGGTTTTGGACATTAGTGCTGTCTGGGCTATCTAGAACTTATGCATTGCCGCTGGGAAAACTTTGAGAAATTTCTACGTGGGCATAAAAGTATGTATAGGATCTATTATTTATACAGCGCTATTTCTCATGAAAATTTCTCACAATTTTTCTTCAGCAAAAATGTCGGGGAAAGTCATTAATCATAGCGACTTTTCAATTTCTAACACAACACATCTTTGAAACTAGCCTTTCACGCCTCAGATTCGAATTCTGTTTAAATTATATTGTCGCGATATTTTAATTTTAACATTATGACGTTTCGGAAAATTGTCCCACGAAAATTATTGTCGGATCTCGGAATTTTGATTTTTTGGATTCATCTAAATTTTTCGATGGATACGTATTATTCCAAGAAAAAACATATCGAAATCTAAAAAACGTGGTACACAATTTCCCGAAAAGCCACAATACCGAGAAATCTGAAGACCGATAAAACTTTCCAAGATACAATTTCGCCGAAACATTTAAATTATTTCGTTGAACAACTCGATGAATTAGTTTCCACTTATTTGAATCCAGCAAGGTGCATCCGAATGGTTACACGCAAGTTAATACAACTATGTGTAACATTGTTCTCGGCAGCGGTCGGAACGATTAGTACGCTCCAGCAGAATTATATTTCGGGAAATCGTGCCTGTGTTCGGATTTTGGTGTTACGACCGGGAAATTGTCGCAATTCTCGAATATCGAGATTCAGATTTCTCGAGGCGACGCATCGCCCGTCGTTTAATATCATAATCGTTCGTGCTCATTAACGTCATTGACGTCATTGAATCAATGCGTGTTCGGTTGATCTAGATTCAAGTGGAACACATCGAAATTGCCACGGGAGTTCAGCATCGCTCCAGCGGCCGGCTACTGCTCTCCCGGCATGAGCGTCAACTTCATTGTCAGTTTCCGACCTACTCGGCATGACAGGTTGATCGAGGGCGATGTGAGCGCACATACAACTTCCATCTTCTGTACTTGTTATACGCGTGCAAATATACGTATGCTCGCTCTTCTCCGCGGGAGTCTCGCGCTTGCCGTATAATGTACGCCAGGCGCGAGTGCGGTTTACCGCGCGCAGCGCGGTGCAATCGCCGTCCTTACGAATCGCATTTAACTTTCTCGAGTTATTCATCTGTTCAGAACTTGAAAATTGAACGTTTCTCGCGCACGTGTTGGGCCTGTACGCTCGAGGCTCCGTTCGGTCCCGACAAATCGCTCCACGATCCGTTTCAACGGATCATTTGGGACAAATTGTTGCTAAGGCCAATATAAATGTCACGCTTCAAACTCGAGTTATCCGGATAACAATTGAAGCATCAGATCCGAATTCGAATTTATAAGTTCGCAGTGGAATGGACCAAGCAGACACGTTCGCAGCGATTTAGCGTTTCCCCCCCGAGGAATTAACAATGAATAAATTCAGTCAGTTTAACTACTGTTCGATAAATTAATATTTCTTAATTCTCCAGTCCAAATTTGGAGATTCGAATTCGGTGCTGGCTGTAAATCTCTTGTTATAATCTGAATTTGGACCCGAGAAATTTAAATTACCCAGATAGCGAGGCTTTGAGTTGTTCGATTACGATTTTTTGATGAAACGATAAACGAAACGATAATTAGCAGGGAACGCTAAAATTTGGCATTTCGAGCAGGCGTTGCTCGAAATCGACAAATACGGTGTCCTCGGCGTAAGGATCACAGGAAGTTGCCGCAAGCTGCCAGAGCCCATTGACACTTTGTTTTTCACGTGTCACGTGCGCGAGAAAGTGACAAAGTCGTTGAGCGTCGAGAATGACACCGGCGTTCCATGGCGATTGAAGCCGGAGATCAACGGCGACTATTTCACCGTTGACGAGGTTTTACACGTGCCGCCGAAGAACTCGGCTCCATGCGCAATTACCTACGCCCCTCTAGTCATGAGCAGCGACAGTAAACCGCATAAGGTAACCGCACCGAAGAAAAGTATTTGATTGATAATAAGCCAGTTTTCTGACAAAGTATGAACGGTATAAAGGGACAGATAAAAAAATGAGGGTTTTAGTTTCTTCAATTTTTCTTTAATTTCTTTAACTTTAATATAATAACAATATCTCGAAGACAAATTCCACAGAGCAAAGTCTAACTGTGCTGAACAAGAAGCTGAACAGCTTCCTAAAAACGCTTCTTCTGTAAACCTCCTTTGTATTTTCTCAAGTGCGGATATTATTGTATCGTTACAACAACATATTCCAAATGAATCGGAGAATGAAAATGTGCAAGGAACAAATGAAAAATTAATTTTCTGTCGGGAAATAAATAAAAAAGTCTCTTGACTTTCCGCCTGGTAAATTCTCTTCGCTACTTTGACGAAAGTAGAGCGTAAGGACAATCTTGTGATTCTGCGCAAAGTACAACAAGTCGATAAGCGTGATATCTTTTCGTAAATTATCTCAGGGTACCTTGCTCTTGAGGCTGCCGAGCGATAAAGCGCCTGTGGCGTACGCTCTTAAGGGACTGAGTGTAGCTCCGCAAGTCCTTCGCAGGATCACACGTCAGTTCCCGGCGAAGACGAAGTTTATCGAGCTCTTGCCTGTCTATAATTGGACGGATAGGCAGCAACTGTTCGAGTGCAAGATCGAAAATTTGGACGCCGAGGTAGCAAGCAAGGTTTGAAAATGTCGCACGCTAGTGGCAATGCTTTCTGAGTATTTTGCAATAATTTCGCGGACAATAAGATGCATCTTCTCTGGATTTTTTTGCAGGCTTTCAATGCCATCACTTTCGTCGGTAACAGCAAGATAGACGTGCCGGCGAACAGTCAGCGAGATTACCGCGCGGAGTTTTACTCCTACAAGGAATCGAGATGCAACTTTAAGGTACGTCGTTTGCGGAAAAGCGTGAATAATTAACCAATTATGATATTATTATTAGTGTACTTTATATATAAAGACACGTTAAGACATTACATGTACCAATTTTTCTCATACAAATTCACATACGTGATAATATCCTTAACTTCTTAAAATGTAAGCGATATATCCCCTTTCGAGTTGATCCCTGATCTTCTAGACTATTCTTCTAGTACATTTCATTGCGACATAATCAAAGTCGCTTACATCATCATCACGTCCAGGTAACGTTTACCAATCAAGAGGGAGAATATGAATTTTACGAGTTGCAATACAACATCGCGCGGCCCGAGGAGATCGAATCGATCAAGCTAGTCACTGCGGCGCGAATTCCGGTGTGCTACGCTTTGAGGCTCGATAATCCACTCAAACAACAAGGGATAACGTACAAGGCGACGTGTCAGCACCCATACGTCACGATCCATGACGTACCGAAGACGGTGGCGCCTTTATCCAGCGTTAGTTGCAGACAATATACCTTACATATACGAATAAAGTAGACATACACTCTTCAGCATGTCTGCACCAATGATCCTTTCATTGTTGCACACCGAGTTATAGTTTATCATAAGAGGCAACAGGCAAATAACAATCGACACAAATGCGATAGAAAACCATCGATCTGGAGTATCATCCTGTACATCCTAGCGATGAAACCGTGGTGAAGCTGGACGTTTATTGCGACAAACTCGGCCTGTTCCCGTATGAATTGCGATTGAAGGCCGCGCCAGCGCCCGCGGAGGAGACCACGCGCGTCATCGCGATGCTCGGCGGCAATGTTACCTTCTCCTTGCCCATCAGAAATATCACGAGAAAGAACGCTGTGTTTACGATCAAGGTGCGTGGAAACTGGGAAACTGAGGCACATTTGACAAGCTTCTCAAAACTTCGCTCGATATACCTTTATGAAACAATTATTGAGATTGACTATACGAGAAGGTTCGAATAACCAAAATATAAAATATTATTGAGGAGCTGCGCCAGTTTTAATGAAATTCCAAGAGAATCCTCCATTTCGCGATTCCGTTATCTAGGGAGTTTCTCTTACGATAAATTCGCGAAGAGAGCATTTCGCAAGCCTATTCCTACAATGAATGCTTCTCGGTTCGTCTGCGTAACGTCTGCCACGTATTTCCACGATAACGCGAGTATCCATCCTTCGCTAGGTGGACAACGAGTGCTTCGAGGCCTCGAAGAAGATCGAAGTGCCGGCCTTGAAGAGTACCTTGTTTAACGTGACTTACGAGCCGAGCGACGTCGATAATATTTTCGCCACATTAATAGCCACTTCCGAGATCGCCGGGGAATTTTTGTATGACAATTTGTCGCTGGCGAACGCGTGTCCCTTATTTCTACATTTTATTTGATCATTAACACGCAGTTAAAGAATACGATAAGTCACACCCGTGAGATATAATCGTCGATAATTCTATTTCTCACTATACACTGAGAAAAAATTGTATTAAAATTAAACAAATATTTGTTCGAATATGACTGTGAAATGCGCATGCACGCACATATTTATTCAAATTAAGCGACTAATTTCTAAAATGAAATATAGAGGTTCTGAATGTAAACTTTTTTCTTGAATTTTAGAAAATAATTGCTTAATTTAAATAAATGTATTCACAGTCGTATTCGACCAAATATTTGTTTAATTTTTATATAATTTTTTCTCAGTGTATATATATATATATATATATGTGTGTGTATATAATGTGTAAATGTAGATTTCCACTCGTCGGCACGTATTCATTACCGATACCTCGAGGACCCTATGAAGTTGCTTGCAACACACCGGCTCTTATACCATTCAAAAATATATTCAGAAGTGTCCAATCGTTCGAGATCGTCCTAGACGATCCCAAAGCTTTTAGCACAAAGACGTCGTTATTAAATATGAAGGAGAAACAGGTAACTATATTATATATTAATTGATTGTTATATTCCCTATTTTTTTCGTTGCCTAAAAGATTTTATTTATCGAATAAGTACGTCAGACTTACAATTTTAGCGATCCGACGAGGAATATAAGCATAATTTAAGTGTAAATTAAATTTTAACATCAACTTAATAACATGTGGACAATATAGCTGTGAATATAGGTTTTCGAATATAGGTTTCTGAAAAATATTAATATTTGATCTTCCCTTTCTCGTTGTTGCTGCACGGTTCTCTTTTCCTCTTTCGTCCATCAATTTCAACGATATATCTGTTTCTTTTTAAGTCCGGAAAGTGCAAACTAATCTAATGCAAATAAATAGATTAGAAAATATCATTTTAACATGAAGAATATCATTCAACAAATTAAAACGAACAGATTTATTATTCTAATGTGCAAATATTGTAAGTCGTCGTACAATAAAATAAAATAAAAGATAAAAAATAAAAGATATAGCCACTAATCTTGTAACAAATTGATACGACAAGGTGGTCGATATCGCTGTTAGTCTAAAAGATATTTCAAGAGAAGGAAATGAACTGAAAAACAGCTTCACGATAACTGGAAAGCTTCTGGTATATTGCACGGATCCAAAGATATCTGACATCAATTGGATTTATTATTTAAGAGGTATACATGATTGAGGGAAAACGACAAATTTCTAAATGTCTCAATGTAACAGTTGAAATATTACAACAAAATATTATCATATTGAACAACAACGATGCCCGTAAAATAAAATAAATGCCTGTAAAATTGTGATTGTGATATTACATAATAAAAATATATATTGTAATGTAATAATATTATTTAAAATATAACCAAGAGTGCAATCGAATTTTCAAAAGATTTGAAGCTCTCGGATACGTTGGAAAATTTGTTGGAAGATTCGTCGTACAACGAACCAATATTTGCTCAGGCGGACTCCAGGAGATTGTCCATATTGTGGTATCGCAGGTATCGTGACGGTCGCCTCGACAAAGCATTATCCCTGAGTCACCGACTGATCATTATAAAGAATACCCCCCAATTGAGTCACAAAATGCTTGCCACATTAGTGAGGTCAAGCTTCTAAAGACCATCGCAGCCGAGAGCGAGCAGTCTACCGACTGCTGTCTATCTCGAGACATTTTCCGAAGATTTACTAAAAGATACAGACAATTGCTGATTTTTATAAAACCATAACTAGCAAAATATCGAATTACAATTCTCTTCAACTCTCTTTCCTTCTCGGTAAGCTTTTCGGGCTTTTCGATTCCAAAGAGTTTCTGGACGCATCCACTCGGGACCGCATTCGTTCTGTATCACAGTCACTACATTTTGTGTAATTGTTCGGGCGTCGATGTTACACCTCGATGTTGTCACAAATTGCTGATTCTTTTAATTGCGCATTAACATGATCTGAAGATCCTTGTCGACCGGCGTCTCGACAAACTTTTCGCATATTTCCGTGTGAGTTCTGACGAGATCCTAAATAAAATTAGAAGATTTATGCGCGAGCACACTTACAACTGACTCGGCTACTTGTTGCAGTTCTGCAATTCTAATATTAAATGATTGTGAGAGGTGAATGACAATACTTTCATCGTGTCTCTACCATCGCTTCAGCGAAATTTCAATTTGCATGATTCAAGTTTCCACGCCCAGTACGGGCGATTCCGGGTACTAAAAAAATTAGTTCCGCCCGCTTACAGATATAAAAAATAACATTTGGTTTGTTAATTATCACCTCTGTTTGGTAAATGACTGTTAGTTTCGTACTTTTCCTGCTTGTAAATTTCCGATTATAAAGCTCAATGCTTCTTCATGTGTATCGATGTTATACGTCTGATCATATTGTATTTTATTAGAGATAGAAATATTTGAGCAAAGTGTGATATCTTTCAGTGTTTAAGTTTCTACTCGAAAATAAAGAAAGTGGCAATTTCTAGTTTACTTTCTAATCCGAGATGATGTTTCAGTTCTGTTTCTCGTGAAAGAAGAAAAGGTGAAAAATGAAAAGGTGAAGAAACGAATGAAGGTTCACTGAAACGCCCTCTGAGAGAGAAGAGATAAGTTCTTTTCTACAACTGAGGAGAAGGGATGAACTAGTATACATATATATGCATATATATTTGAGCGTGAAGCTCGCTTAGTGCCTGTCCAGTTTCCGTTGAGTGAACGTTTAATAGTTTTCCGCTAAAGTCGCTAATATTTGTTAAAGAATTTTGTCAACGCTTATCGCAAATAATTTTCATACAAGTGTACGTACAAGTGTAGGTCTCATTCCAAAATGAATAAAATGTACGACGCTGCTCCCAAATGGCGCTCCACTAGTAGCCGAACTCAGCTTTTCGCGGAGGACACTGTAGCGTTTAAACCCGAAGTTAATCAAACTTGTGACTTTGATCTCGTGAGTAAGGAACCGCTACGGCAATTCGAAGTAATAGTCATTGAGATAGAGAAGATAAGGATCCCTAGTACTCTTGGCTTCGTAAAGATTGAAATTGATTTATTCATGTGGGCATTCAGCCATGATAATTTACTTACCGCGCCACAACCCAGCTGCGGCGAATATTCAATTTCATTTTCTTCAAATGGTATGTACCCCTACGGTCTATTCACTTAAAACTTGTGTTCTACTTGATTATATCAATTATTGAATGTTTCTTTAAAGTGTCTTAAATCGGCATATTTTGCAATTAATTAAATTTGCGCCGATGACATATATATTCCCTTTATTCTTCGCATCTACGATATCGTCTCTTTAAACTATATAAGGAAAGTGTATTATACAACAGTAGCATTATATAAATTTTTTTATTTTAATATCGTTGAACATTTATTAGTACAATAATATTTCGATAAGAAAATATTTATAAATTATAAATAATAAAGTATTAAATTAACTAATAGATATAATAAATGCGTGTATATTGTTAGACATATCCAGAATTTATAATCGCATCGTGCATTCATTGAATTATGATTTATTATTCTTGCATTTACTGTTTTAGCTGACGCTATGTTCAATTTCATTTCTCAGTGGTGCGTTGACCGAACTATATATGAGAAGTTATATGAGTCCGATGTATTAAATATTTTGCATCGACACATATGGGACTATGTTCCAAAATTGTATTTTCCTATAGATACTGATAAATATGACGTCTCCAGTCTACCAGGTGACCGTGTAGCTATATTCTACATGGTATGCGACAACTTTCAGACATACTCCAATGGCCTTGGATTCTTAATTACTAAAAATGTTATTCTAATGACACTGTTTGATATTTCACCGGAGAGACCAATATATCTGCATTTGCGCATGAACAGGCCACTGATTCAATTTCGGACGCTTTCGTTATGTACCGGTACGTCCGTCGCGGCGAAATTATGTCGGTTCGCCAAACGGCATTAAAGAACCGACCTTTTGTTATTTATTATTTATATATTTTTTTATATATTATATATATTAGTTATTTATATATTTTTCTGTTTACAGTACCATCACTACAGGGGTTATGCCGAGAAGCAATTTTGCAACACATTAAGAGGAAGAACAAAGGATTGACGGAGGCGTCTGCAAAGAACTTGCACTTACCGAAGATTCTGACTGAAGAATTGATAAATCACGAACAACACGTAGAATTCACTTATGTTACCTCTTCTTCTCACCTCATTTGTTAATATTGTATAATAAAATATAAATTGTATAATTGTATAATTATAAAAATAAATAGTATAATTATAAAAGATAAAAGTATAATTGTATAATTATAAAAATAAATAGTATAATTATAAAAGATAAAAGTATAATTGTATAATTAACCCTTTCGCTTCGAGCACCGGATATATCCGGCATCCATATGATGTGTATACAAGTGTCATCTGTAGTCGATGATAAATTCTTCGTTATCGGCAGAACCTCTTTTGTTGATTTTATTGATATACTGGATTAATCACATATTAAAACTACTCTTTGTTGTTACGATATCAAAATGTATTAAGTAATATACTTCAGACATCAAAACGATCGTTTACTGTTTCATTCTATCGAAAAAATCTGTCGAATTCATTCAACAGTGAAACGATATTTAATATACGTTTTTTTAGAGATTTAATATATTAACTAATTATATATTAACTAATTTGCATTACATTATTAATTATATTAAACATTTAATCGTAAAGTCTTGGAAATATATAAACACCTAAAAATATGTAAACTGTAATTGGTCTAATGTTTTTAGAATAACTAATACAATTTTGTATAAGTCTTTTCATATTAAAAATGTAAACTATACTTGTTATATTAGAGCAACGATTGTCTTATGAAGCACAATTGTTATTTAAGACTTAGAAAAACGTATATACATAAACCACGCGCATTGTGCACATTTCTGGCGCGTACTTCCGTTCAGTGACGGCACTTCGGACTGCCGAAGCGAAAGGGTTAATTATTATGAGAGTTATTTGGATCCTCGATATGTGTGTGTGTGTGTGTGTGTGTGTGTGTGTGTGTGTGTGTGTGTGTGTGTGTGGTGTGTGTGTGTGTGTGTGTGTGTGTGTGTGTGTGTGTGTGTGTGTGTGTGTGTGTGTGTGTGGAGTCATAACCGAATAACCGTAATGTATCATTCATTTTTAATTGCCAATATATGTCTAAAAAATGAAAAACTTTGGATAAATAAAAGGAGAGGTAGAAAACGAAGAACTATTATACGAGGAACTCCTTAAAAGGAAAAAGAAAAGTTTTTTTCTAAATACAAAAGAAGGGACGAACAGGTAGTTTAATGGCCAAATTTAGTTCGCTTTCGAGAAGATTCTCTCTTCTTCCTTCCAGAATCGGTTTTTATAAATTTTATAAATTTAATCTTTTCTGTTCAATGCGTGAATCGATTCTATATAAATCAATCCTGTCAATAGAAAACCGAATTTTGATCCATTGATATGGTTATTCATTACTGTTATTTGGTTTAATAAAGAATTCATCCCGGAAACAATATTTAATACAATTAGTATATTGCTTTATCTTTGTGTACTCTAGAAGATAAATCTGAAGAAGGTAAAACTATTATACATGTAACGAAATTATCACGCTGAATTTAGTCCTACGAGGAATCGAAATGTAACTTTAAGGGACGAAATTGTCCCTTAAGATTCATCTTTTTCCTGCCATCTTGAGAACTGTCAGATATATGAAATAGATTTTTAAACAAATATTGCATGAATCTTTTCAAAGAAATTAAACAATCAATCGATTTAAGGAAGTATTTTGGTCTAGCGGGTTCAAAAAGTCGATTTTTTTTGCAACTATTTAGTATAGAGAATATATCTGTGCAACTATTTCGCTCAAATCGCAATATTAACAAAGTTATATCACTATATAGGAAGCGGCATCTGGCGTGCGCTCAGTGCTCGGCGCACAATAGAACGTCGTGTTGGCGTTAAGTGTGTGTATGTGTTGAACAGGCACGAATGAGTCGATTGGAGACATCGTAAAATGCCCTACAACTAGGATCTTTCGAACACACAATAGATTTTGACCTGTCTGAAGAAATATCTGCTTTCTGAACGCAGAATACAGCGTGGCGTTGAACGAGGCAAGCGGACGCAAATAAGGCTATTCGTGAGTTTAGAATCCATAGAAATGGACAAGAAAAGACGAAAAATATTAACGCGCTCCCAAATTGTAAAAAAAAAAAACAGCATCCCGTCGGATGAAGAGAGCTGGTACAAATGGCGTCTAGCCAAAGCCGAAGGTATACTGAAAAATTCCCATCATGATAAACCGTCTTTTACTGCCAAAATATTGGAGATCATCAAGCTTATTTATGAAAAGTTGTCATCGGCTACTTTGTTGCATTGGAACAGAAACGCAAAATAACAACGAATCGCTCAATTCTCTTATTTGGACTTTTTCTCCAAAACATCTACATTCATTCGGGACCAAAAATTGTAAAAATAGCAACGTTTATAGCAATAATATCTTGCGTCAGCACGTGCATCACAATGATATTTCAGATGATCTGAATATTATATGCAATTTATCGGGTGATCGTCTAGGCATATTTTATATAGAAAAGAGCGAATACAAAGGTATTCGATTCATTGTGGCTAAAAATATGATTACGACAACAAAATTTCCTTTATCGCCGGGGAAACCAGTATCTCTGTGTATATACATGCTACCAGATTTGATGCAATTTCGGACGCTTCCGTTATATACCGGTAAGTTCCATTGAAATTATATCGATCCGTCAAATGACATTAAAGAATCAACCTATTTTTACTTATATATTATTCTGTCTATTTATAGCGCCGTCATTACAGGCATTATCCTGCGAAGTCATTTTTCAGCATTTGAGAAGGGAGAAGAGGGAAGTTGACAAAGAAACGTTTAAAGAGGTTGTCTTTACCGACGATTCTGACTAAGAAATTGAAGGTTCATGCGCAAAAATAGATTAATTCACGCAGAGATACTCCCATACAAAGAAATTACAAGAGAAGAGGAAAATTTGGAATATAACAGCAAGAACCGGATAATTTTTTTAATCGCGAGATTTTTAATATTTTCGAAACTTTCTCACATTGTAACTATTGCAATATATGGTTTAAACAATAAGCAGTCGTAATATCTGTCATTGAAATTTAGTTGTATGATTATAAACAGTAAAATAAGATTGTGTGAAATATTATATAATAATAGTATACACATTGGAATGTATATAATTATATAATATAATATATTGTTGCGCTCACTCATACATTCGCGCCGCGCATTCGAGAAAATGAGAACACTCGCGTTAGAATAAGAAGCTTTACTATTTACAGCGCAGCTCGCTCAAGCTTTTTACAGGAATAATTCTCTATTTGACAATTCTCGCGTTTGTCCTCGATGATAGCTTACCGGAGACTCTCTGTCAGCTGTTGTTGTTTCCCCTCTTTCGATTTTCCGACTAGACAATCATCCTTCAGTTGTCCAAATCGACATCAGATGTCTAAAGCTCACGGACAACGGACGCTGCCACAAACCTTGTGGCTCGGACACAACAATATTATTTAATTATATAATGACAACTCTCTCTCTCTCTCTCTCTCTCTCTCTCTTTCTCTCTCTCCCTCTCTCTCTCTCTCTCTCTCCCCCCCTCCTTATTCCAAATATTTTAAATAACATTTAGTGTCATTTTGGGCATTTTCAACTTATGACTGTTGTTTACAAAGTTGATGCAATTTGTTTTCATACATATTCAAATAATATTTAATTCACATCTGTGTTAAAAATTAGTATCTATTTAAAAAATGAAAGAAACGAGGAATACAAAGAATCCTTTAAAAGGGAAAGAAAGGGTTCTTTTTGAATACAAAAGAAGGGATAAGCAGATAGTTTAGTAATGTCCGAATTGTTAGATTTCAAGAAAATGGGTCTTCTTTATCCAAAAATCGATTTTTCTCAGTCGATTCTGTATAAGTCGATTCTGTCAATAGAAAATTGATTTTTGTTCCGTTGATATGCTTATTCCTCAATATTGTTTTATTTAATAAAGAATTCACGATAGAATCAACATTTGACACAATTAGAGTATTGCTTTCTCTTTATGTATTTTAGAAGAAAATAAAACTGAAGAAGGCAAAACTGTTATACAAATATAACTACAATCCAACTGATTAAAATTTTAGTTATTCAGTTTAAGTCCTAGATATACAGGTATTTCTACTCAGGCAATAATATATTATCAAATAGCTCTCTAAAAGATATTTCGTTTTTATATGACTCTGATAACTTAGAAATACTTCAAAAAGATGACAAAATGTTATACGCTGTTTCTTGCGAGCAGAAAAATATCACGAAAATGATGTTTAAAAGATTTCTCAAATCGGATATTTAGTAAATCGATTCTAGTTATATCGATTCCAGATCGATACAGAAATTGACTTTTTCTAAAATATCGCCTATCACTAGCAAGTATATAGAACTTGGCTAGAGCGGAGCGTCGGTTAGTATTTAACGAAGACATATGCTTGTCAAATGATCATTCACTCGCTTTTCTATAAAATAGTGACTACGATTTCAAAGTTTCATCGACGCTTATCACAGATTTTTTTTCGCGAGAGTGTAGTTTTATTTGTAATAAAATAGTTATAATTAAAAATAGTTACAATGAACAAGGGTGCTCCCAAATTACGCACAATGCATCCAGCGATCAGTCTTTATGAGGATAACACTATCGCGGTTTTTCAACCTTCTTTTCTCTCTATAATAGATGATCCTGATAATATGTTTGAAACACCCTACATTGTCAGTGAGAAGCCGCTGAAACCATGCGAGGTCTTTCTCGTGGAATTAACGAAACGCAGATCAGACATAAAATACATTAATCTTTTGCAATGTTGCCTCGTTGATCGCGTTGAAGATCCGCAGAATCACAGATTTTTCATAAGTTTACGATCTTCTTATACAAGTTATCCGTGTAAGTATGTACCGATCGATTATTCAGAGCCCCTGATTGTGTACTTGAGAAACGTTAGATCATAATACGTTCTCTGAAGTTAAACGACGACGGCTATTTTTGCACACTCCGTATCTATGTATTTGTATCTGCGTGTAGGATACCCGGATTTAGATGTCCGCGTGTTCGTATGAAGGTGGAACTCGTTAAACTACATGGAAAAATTTTCTACCATTTTATGTAAACTGCAGTGTTAATGATTGATTTGTCGATGAAACAAGATTGGTCAATCAATGTACAGAACGCGGTCAGTGAGTTCTTTAGCTAAAACCTCATCTGAAATTATTTTGAAATTATACCTGAAATTAGCCTGAATTTATCTCTAAACAATCTTTTGGTCACAATGGAAGTAATGCTGGATGTTATCATAATACAAGCTTTTTCTATCGTGCATATCTATTTTCTTTTATTAATATCACATTAGTGATCGTGATAACTAACAAAGTGGTTGAAAATTATTCTATTTAATTTAACGAGTTTTATCTTCATACTCCGACACATACATACATACATACGTCGAGATATCTTGTAAGTTAAAATTAAACAAAGAATACGTGGTACACAACAGCAGCATGATATACGAGTGTCTTGCTTTTAATATTGTCAATATTTACTTGTCGGTATAATGACATATTTATAAGGAGAGAATAATCAAAATATTAAATTATCCGTTGGATATAATAACACACGCGTGTGTACATGACTGGACGCATTCAGTATTCAGTAGCTTATTGTGCATTTAAACATTATGTGTGTGCTGAATTATACATTGTTGTTTCCTTGTTTATTCTCAAGTTGTTACTCAAGACCAAAGGGAGCGGTTACTTAGGAAATTGTTCGAAAATCAAGAAATACCGCAACCATCTTGCAGTGAAGTTCTATTCAGTATCTTGCGTCGGCACGTGCTTAGTATATATGAAAAGAAAGTACTCCTTCAAGATAGCCAAACGGACTTGCTACATCGTCACCTTGTAGGCATATTTTACTACCAACTTCCTCACAGAGACGACACTTTTATATACGTAGTGGACAAATATGCCGTACATCAAAGCCAGTTTCTCTTACCTTCGAGAGAACAAAAATATTTGCTGATTCAGTTAAACAAATTTGTACTGCAATTGCGGACGCTCCCGGTATATGACGGTACGTATCTGCACGATGTCGATCTGCCAAACGACGAGACCTGCTAAGGGAACTGATATCCCTTGTGTTATTTATATATTATTCTATACTTCCGCAGTACTGTCGTTACAAGGTTTATGCCGCGAAGTAATTTTCCAGTGCATTAGGGTGAAAGGAAAATTAATGACGAAATCTTTAAAGAAGCTACCATTACCGGGATGTATACTTGAACGCCTGCTGATCTACGCGGTCGATTATAAAATACATACATCGTAAAGTACATACAGATGCGTTTACCATTGACAAAATAATTATAATATTACATATATTATAATAATATGACATAAACAATATATTGTTGTGATATTTAATTAGATAATATAACAATTTAGTTAGATAATAACTCTCTGATTTTTATTTCTAAGTATCTTTCAATCATGTTTTGGACATTTCTCCGGCTTGTAATTACCAATTACAAAGTTCATGCGTTCGTCTCCTCATCTATATTGATATTTTTATTTCTTGCCGTTTTTATTAGAAATTATACGAGTGATCTGATATCTGTTCAAAGACGAAGAAAATGGAAATAAATAAAGGAATATGTATTAAATGAATAACAGAATTAATGAGATAGTCCTTTGGAAAAGAAAGTGGACATAGCGGCGTTTTGGTCTTTCAAAGTAAAAAAAGTAAGAGGAGGGCTGAGCGCAGGTAGTTGAAAGCTGAATTCGGCCAATGCTTGTTCCGCACATTTTTGACTGCCGTTAGCTTCTCTTGGCGGAGGAAAAGGGTCAAATTTCCTTTGCATGATAAAGTTGATTGACACCTGACAGGTTAATTATTTGATTGTGACCCTCGTCGAAAAAGAGTTACTGTTCGATAAAATTACATCGTGTGTACATCGAATAATTATACTGTCGCTTGTCAGATATTTTTTCGAATAAATATAGCGCCATTTGCGCTAAAATATATACAACGATCCACGGGGTGCTCGAAAATTGTACGTACTGACACTGTCTATCTTTGTCTATCTTTGCTCTCGGCGAAGATAAAGCAACTAGTGAGTGTTACGAATGGAATTCATAGATAGCATCCTACCAATGAACGACATTCTCCTTGTAGATATAGAGAAGATAATAAGAGGAGATAAGATAGGATAGAGGATAAGAGAGAGAAGATAAGGTAGAGATAGAGAGATAAGATTTAAACTTGGTCCCTACTTGTATGTTCCAATAATATTATCTCACTGACTGAAGAATATCTACAGGCTGAAAGATTTAATATAGAATCTTATATATTCTAAATATCTTCGCAATCAGAAAAAGATTATAAGAAAAAGATATAATTGACATATAAGATTACACGAGAATTTTGTCTCTCCATATATGATCTCCATATATAATTATATGAAATTATATATATATCGACACTGAAGAAAAATGTCGTTGAACGACGAGAAGAAGAAATTATTTCGTTCAGTTATACGTTTATATCACGGACTGCCGTAGACATAAGCAGTCACTTTAATTGTATTTGTCCAATAGCATTTTTTCAGTCTAGATATATACAAGGTGTCCATCACGATACGCAAACTTTGCTGTGACGCATACGCTGCATAACTACGTATAATTATACATCGCTATAAAGAGACAAAATTTATTATAATTATTTCATAATATAATTATTTTTCGCCGGGTAAGTACCTAATTTCTTACATAGACCATGATCGATTTAGATGTTCATGTAATTCAAAGCCGACAGTATGAATTGCTAACATTTAAAAGGCTCGAAATCAATATGTTATGTTCTGAAAGAAGAGTAACAAAGAATATTCTCCCCGTATTGATAGCGTTTCAACTCTAGATTAAAAAATTGCTCAACTACTGTGATAGTTGTGATGTAAAGTACACGCAGAAGAATGAATTGAGTGTAATCGATGTCTACGCCGAAACTTAACGCGTTCATCGCGACGCTTTAATGAAACGCGGCGATATTACAGCGCCGATCACTGCTTAGTCCCGCGCTCAGTTCAAGTATTAACGAGGCATCGGCGTTTCAGATCGTCGGCAGACACGTAGCTAATAGCACGATGTACGTGAGGAGGATGGCCGAAAATGCCAACCAGCCGACCAATACTGTCACGTAGCTCCATGGTGATTTCTTGCTGTTCGACTGCACGAGATCGGCGTTATCGTCCGCGTCAATTTCTATCTTAGCTGTTACGGCCGGATCCAGGATGCTAATTAACAGAATCTGACCGACCCGGCTGCGTAAGAGGGACGTCGTAGCTGACGAGATCCACGCAGGCGGCGGGGTGGTGAGTTCTTGCAGTTGTCGCAGGATATTCGTGAGGATCAACACGAACAGTGCCATCGCAAAAGAGCTCTCATAGAAAGTGACTGGAGATCATTAATGAATGTTAGACGAACCTCGAGGAGACTTCTCGAGGCGATTCAATGAAGGGAGATAAAAAGATAAACGTCTGATCACATCTTTCGTTCTTTTCGGAAAGCAATCGTGCCGAGGAACGAAGATATCGCGAGATATACTTGAGCAAGCAGGATTTTATGAAACTGCATAAAATTAGATGAGATTGTGTAAAATCACGATTGCAAACTACACTAGGAAAAAAAATGTAGTATCTCTAACAAAACTATTTAGTTAAGGTATTTTTTAATAGCAACCAAATATCTTGTTTTATATAACAAAATATTTAGTTGTTTCAACTAAATATATTTTCCTGCTTTGTTCTCTGGACCAAATGATTTTGTTCTTAGGCTCCATATATAAAAATTAAGCATTTTAGTTATTTTATCCATAAAAAATTACATAATAACGAAATATTATTTAACTATAAACTATAAACTAAAATAATGCCCAATGGATACTATTTTGTCTTTCTGTGCACTAAAATTTAGATTTTACATATTAAGAAAAAATCATAGTATTTTTAACAAAATTCATATAGTTAAAGCTTTTTGGTTGCTATAACAAAAGTATTACGTTATATAAACAAACATTAGGAAAAATGTATTGTTGCGTGAACCAAAATTTTGTTGTTACAACAAAATAATTTGGTTAAAATATGCCCGACAAAACTGTTTAGTTCCTTAGTAAACAAATATCTTGTTTGATTACAGTTTGTTCGTATAACATAATACTTTTGTTATAGCAACCAAAAAGCTTTAACTATATGAATTTTGTTAAAAATACTATAATTTTTTCTTAATATATAAAATCTAAATTTTAGTGCACAGAAAGACAAAATAGTATCCATTGAGCATTATTTTAGTTTAAAGTAAGATAATATTTCGTTATTATGTAATTTTTATGGATAAAATAACTAAAATGCTTAATTTTTATATATGAAGTCCAACAACAAAATCATTTTTTGGTCCAGAGAACAAAGCAGAAAAATATATTTAGTTGAGACAACTAAATATTTTGTTATATAAAACAAGATATTTGGTTGCTATTAAAAAATACCTCAACTAAACAGTTTTGTTAGAGATATTAAATTTTTTTTTCCTACTGTACTTACGCAATTTGGGAGTATTGAAGCCGCTCTTCGGCATTTCCCAATGCACGTCTTGTATGCATAATAAATGGCAGATGAAGTTGAAATTGGCGATCACCATCCGCTCAAAGGACTTCGGCTCCAGCCACAGTGCGGTCAACGTCATCACCATCAACACTATGAGTAAAGAAGCGAACCGGTGCGTCACGAGACCGTTTTGAGAATATTCTCATCGATAATTAACATGAAATAAAACGATAACCGTGTGTAGTATACGCAGTACACACCTATAGTGGGTGTCACATATGCGATGCGTATGATACCCCAGTGTCTTTTCAGAATAAAATGATAAGAGAGCAGTCTGGAGGTAGTGTTCGAATTATATTTGTGCTTTTCCTCCTGGCTCGTTACATAAATCTTCAGCAAGTCCCATTCGACGTTCTTTTGGTATTCGTGTAGATCCGCCATCGTCGTCTTTAAAGAGAATCATTCAATTTACAGATTTATGAGGAGAAAAAAATTACAATTGAACTTGCAGTACTCGTGTAAACCCTTTGCTGAATTAATAACTACCGATTCTTGTCGGCAAGAAAGAAGAAGGAAAAGAGGGAAAGAACGAGAAGAAATGATCGCGCATACACACATACACACCAGATTCGTATGATGAACGAGGTCGATCTCGTCGCCGGTATGCGACCACGAGCCGAACTGTATGGAACAGTTCATGATGTTGTACGGCCACCAGGTGTTATCGGCGACGCAGAACGTGGAGTACTTCGCCGGTGTTAACCATTGGACCATTCCTTTCCTCCAGACCCAACACTTTGTCTGCATGAAACCTGAGAACATGGTGTTGTCTATGTCCCTGACGGACATAAACGTGTACGCACGATATTCGCTCGATTAGTTCTTTCGTGTCTCGGCGAACCGTGTCCCTTGAATTCATTTGAACAACACCGACATGAAAGATATTTTGTACAGTTGAAGACCAATTAAAGATTGCAACAGTCCCCTTCGATGAATTTTGCAACGTATCGCGTATTTAGTAGGGAAATGAATCCTCCCCTGAGAATAACAAAAAAGATTCTCCCGTTTGACAGGAAGTTTCACGGAAGGTGTTGCAAAATAAATCGAGGGGAAATGCTGCGATCTTTAGTCGGCCAGTTGTATGCTCAGACGAATTTTCAAACGAATCGTCTCGATTCTAGTGTGCAATTAGGACTCGTAAATAGAACGAAAAGAAGCACATGATGCTGTGGAGCGAATTTCTCAGCCAAGATTTCGTTTACAAACTGATGATTTTTCTATTCAGCTTGATGAATTCTACCTGCGTCGGAGCTGACTGAACATCCAAGCCGAGACACCCCATGTACAACACACGATGTATCACACACAAATAATCTCGTGCAATTGAATCGGTCAAGCAGATTCGTTACTTACACGTTATGCAGATAAATATCCGGCACCCAAATCTCGTAGGCGGGCACGAACATCAGCTGGATGTTGTCGAATTGCGCGGGGTCCCACGTCAAGTGCGAATCGTTCCACGTCTGTTCGTCACATTTTACAAGAACGAAACATTACGTTGAGTTTTTGGAGGGTAAACAAACGGTGTTAATTATCATCGAAGAATGCTCGGAAATCGACCGATCGATCGCCCAGGTCGGGCGACCGATGTCTCACCAATTGTCTCAATCGTTCGGAGTCAAACGTACCATCGATGTCCACGTGTGCAGTTCGAAGATCTCTTCCTCGTTTATCTGGGAAGCAGATTGCGGCTTTACTTAGTGGGGAACTTCCCTCTTTGCGTCTATTTTACCGCGTCGTACTTTTCAGGCTCAGAAATTCCCCTCAGTTTTGAATTTAGAGGCTTTCGTAACTTTCAACATTATTATTGTTGTTTCCGTCGTTGATCACCATCATTTCGGCGTAGTTTGTTGAAACGTTGGAGGGGGATTTTCTGGCGAAGGTATTTACGTATGCTAGCATCGCACTGGTACTTACATATTGCAGAAATTGCGGAATTATATGCAGTTTCACGCGCGTCACATTATTATTGTTCTGCACTGGTCTTACGTCAGGGTCGTACTCGCAGAGGAGGTGCCTCTTCAATTGAAGCATGCTCGATTGGCTTTCGACATCATTGCACCGTCTCGAACTATACGACATTATCACGTCGACACATACGACGTCGAAGATAAATAACAAGATGAGGAGGAGACCGTTCCCATCCATCTTGGATGTACGATGAGAAAGTCATACGACGAGTGAACGCGCGACAACTCTATCGTCCAACGATGATGAACACGCGTATCGAAGTGACGATAATAATAGTACGCCCAGTGAAATGTAAAACTGCAGACCCCGAAGACCGCCCCATGACGACAAGCTCTTTATCAATGTTTAAAACATATCACAGGACTCCGTATAGAATGATTCTTAGATTTACAATTCTGGCCACTCGTTAATCATACGTCAGTTCTGAGCAAATTTTGTCAATGACAAGTCAGAATTATTTTGTTTTATTTTCTATTGAATTATTAAAAAAAAATATTTTGCACAAGATTGTGATTGTGAGATAGAACAATAGAAGATTATATTATTTGCGAATAATAATTTCTTTGACATGTTAAATCGTTATATTTGATGTAGTACAATAAATAAATACAATATATAGATATAATAAATTTTATAAGTTGTTACTTCGAACTGTAAGCAATGTTGCAAAAATTTTTTTTATTATCAAATAGAACGATTTAACATGGCAAAGAAATTATTATTCGCAATATACATATATATATATATATATATATATATATATATATATATGAGAACTAGAAGCTTTAAGCTGCAAAATGCTTTTCTAAATATTTTACCAATATTATTTTTGCTGATGTCACAGCTTGTTGAATTTTATCTATTTTCCAGAACGGAATAAACGTAAGAAAAGTAATGACTCATAACGGAGATTTTCGAACTAAATAACCAAGATTCGAACCATATTTAGTTAAGACTCCAACCTCAAGTTTCCGTTATGTGTCACATTTAGTTTTAAAATTTCTGCTATGAGTTGCTACTTTCGGCAATGAAAATTTTTGAGTCGTAGTGTGACCAGAAAAGAACGTGAGAGCCGCCAACACGGCGTTTTCGACGACACCGACTTTCCGCACTGGGAAAGGGCGCCATCTGCATCCATTTTGAGAAAGGAACTACGATGCTACATCTACTTTCAGATTTCGGCGATAAAACCTGTATGTGGTGGCAGTCCGTGCTACATCCATTTTCAGGAGATTTATGTCCGTGCTACAACCATAATAGCGTACTTGACAAGCACGGTCTCGCACATTGTTACACGTTTATAACATGAATTAACATGTTAACATGTACAAAAGAAAAAGAATTGACATTGTGTATAATTAATATCATGAAGATCATACGAAGTGTCCGGTAATTAACTGCCAACCCGAAGTGTGAAGGTAGATTGAATTGAGACAAACATAAAAGTTCAATACCGTTTTGCGAGATTCGTAATAATTATCGAGTTATTAATGACAGAAATCTGAAGAGTCTTCCTATGTCTCTTCCTGTCTCTGCCTGTCTTTCCTTATCTTCCCCTATCTCTCCCTGTCTCTCCCTGTCTCTCCCTGTCTCTCCCTGTCCCTCCCTGTCTCTCCCTGTCTCTCCCTGTCCCTCCCTGTCTCTCCCTGTCTCTCCCTGTCTCTCCCTGTCTCTCCCTGTCCCTCCCTGTCCCTCCCTGTCTCTCCCTGTCTCTCTCTCTCTCTCTCATTCTCTCTCTCTCTCTCTCTCTCTCTCTCTCTCTCTCTCTCTCTTCACCCGTTTTGATATATTCAAGATCGAGGTTTCACGCACCTTTTTTTTAAAAGAAATCCTCTGATACAAAAACTGGTACTCAGCTGTCATTCCACGCGATGACAGCCGCAAACGACACGAAGCCGGCCCCAATGCGACCAGTCGGGGAACGTTCGCAGCCGCGGTGAAATTTAACGCTCGCGTTCTTAGGCAAGGGCCTAACATTCTACTCGCGAAGGAACGCCATCGCCCCTCTTTTCACAACGGGGCTGATGTTTAACTCCTTTTTTCCGCGACAATGATATACCGCGACGAAGCCCTAACGAAGCAAGTTCGCTCATAACCAGCGTTTATCAAGCAGCGTTTGTCAAGAGCGCTTCTCCGGGAACATTCCACTTGAGGTTAGTCCGCGATAGAAAGTTTCCTGCGACCGAAGGCCGCTGAGGTTTAAAGTTAAATTGCAGCAAGTATTGTTATCGGGCAGCCCTGAGACGAGCTGCTGACATCCGTCTGTGACGTCTGCCGTGCGCCTTTACGATTACCGGTAAATTTAGTTTTCTCGATTATTCGCGCGATTTCAAGTGGCCATAATATATGGCGAGAATACATGGCAATATATGGCAATAATATATGGCAATAATATACGGCAACAATATATGGCAACAATATATGGCAACAATATATGGCAATAATATATGGCAATAATTTATGGAATATATTTTTCGTTTCAAAAGTCAATGCAAATTTGCGGCATGCACTATGTAATAATAAAGGAGCTCTCTGCGAGCATTGAGTCAAACGCTCACCGATGATGATATTGATGATGCCCCGTTACATCCAACCAGATCCATCAATGTCCGCTCATATCCGCTGCCGCTCTCCATGTCGTACAGCATCCATCTTGCAGCGCGTCCCACGTTGATCGCTACACTTTCGCGACGCGGTCGATATTTATATTAGAGCGGCGATATTTGCGTCAATTAACGAACGTTTTACGTTGTTACCGGTGGAAACTTTTTGCGCGCTGCGAAACGGACTCTATAAACTCGATCGGCGAGGAGCAAGAACCGTGTGAAAATTTACCGACTCGTCCAACGATTTTTATGACGTTTTTCGCGATCGCGTCTGAAAAGTCGCGAAAATGTGGAAGTATCGAAATCTACGAGTGAAATATTCGCGACGCGAATGCACGCGAGGAAATATTAGACGATCAGAAACCCCGGGGGGTCGCCCCGAGGAAGCGCAAAGATAGAGAAGCGGGGCAAAGTTTTCACGCATCGTCCGCATTCACGCATAGCTCCGTCACAACGAAGTTTACTTCGTTCGCGATACTTTGGCGAAATGAGAATTTAAGCTTTCTTTGTTAGTAGCGCGGGTAAAAACGCATATTTTGATAACCGCGGTCGCGATATTCAAAGGCACGCGAGCGAGGATACCTCAAGCTCGGCGTGCACTGGCGCAATTTCTGCGCGCATTATACGCTACTCGAAACAATAGGGATCGTGATGAGTGGACAATATTGCCAAATAATTCTACAGCCTGTTTTGCTAATAAAAGAAAAGTAGCCAACGGTATCGGCATTTATGCGTATGAATATATTTTACACGGACAATTGAATACTGTCAAATAGCTAAATCGTTAAATAATTCTGCGGCCCGCTTGAAAAATGAAAATAAAGCAGCTAATGACCGTATCGCGTTTGTAAATATGAATATCTCTTATTCAGATGACCGAATCAAAAGAGAATCATTCGGTACTTTAAATCTCGTACGTAATGCAGGCTATTGAGTAAGTAATCCCCTGATTGTTTCGAGTAATGTATTTTATTCAACGTCACAAACACACACATGCAAGAATCTATTTGCAATTTGCATTGACTCGAACGATATTTTTAGTCCCATCCGTCCCCCATCCGTCATGCAGAATATTATTTCTCTTTTCGTTTTGACTCACCGAAACGACTTGCAGTCAGAGCCGGCTACGTTCCGCTTCAACTCTGTAACAAAAAATTCACATTCGCTCATTAGATTTGACCAACGAGTACGGGCGAGTAAAAGAGTAATTTACCCTCTGCGATCGTAATTCAAGTCGAGTCGGAAATTATATCCCAGCTCTAGATTGCCAAGAGTCAAACAGAGGACTATAATAAACTTGTAAATTTACCTTCAAGCCGACTCTGCTTGGCCCGAATCGGATCCTCCGATGCGGCATCCGCGTACGCCGGATTGCTGTTGCTTGCCGCAACAACTGAAACAGAAAAGTAATTTTCCCGGTTAATAACCTGTGGTAGAGAGAGAATATCTTTGATCGGGACGAATCGAAAATACGGAAATATTTTGATAAGGAATTTTTATCTTTATATTTTTGTTCCAACATTGAAAATTTAAATGAGACTTGAAACTTTCAAGAGAGCTGATGAGGAACAAGTTGCAAAGGCAAAGATCGTAAAGGGTTGAACACATGATGTGTAGGAAACTTGTAAACTTTACCTTCCGACCGACTCTGCTTGGCCCGAACCGGATCCTTCGGTACAGCATCCGCATCTGCCGGATTGTTGTTACTTTCCGCAACAACTGAAACAGAAAAGTAGTTTTCCCAGTTAATAATCTGCGGTAGAGAGAAAATATCTTTGATCGAGACGAGTCGAAAATACGGAAATATTTTGATATGAGATTTTGATTTTTATATTTTTGTTCCAACATTGAAAATTTAAATGAGACATGAAGCTTTCAAGAAAGCTAATGAGGAACAAGTTGCAAAGGCAAAGATTGTAAAGAGTTGAACACAGATGTGTAGGAAACTTGTAAACTTTACCTTCCGGCCGACCCTGCTCTGCCCGAACCGGATCCTCCGGTGCGGCATCCGCGTCCGCCGGACTTGCTTCCCGCAACGTCTGGAACAAAAATTTAGCATTTCTGGTTGGTAAGCTGCGATAGAGAAAGAATGTTTGGTCGGGATGAGTGGAGAATATTCGCTACGGTTTTTTTTCCTTATTAACATTGAAAGTCTAGATAGAACTTGGAGCTCTTGAAAGAGCTGACGAAAAAAAATGACAACAAGAAGCGGAGACAACAGTTATATGCTCTCGAAAATACTCTTTTACGAATGAACATTTAAATTTAGATCCCGTAACGAAAGTAAACAGACTTGAAAGAAGCGCTGACCGAAAACAAAAAAGGTCGCGGTCTAAGAAGCGGTATGACGTTGAATATTTTACACAAAACCGGTATACTCATACAGTTACGAATTATTCAAAATGTTTGATTGAGAACATAATAAATTAGAGATCCGCGTTTATGGATCGTTATCCGTCTCCGTCTGGATCAATATCTCTTGTATACAACAACGCAATAAATAGATAGACAGACAGAGATCGACGAGAGTAATTGCAGATTCATAAAGTCATGATTACTAGTCGGATGATGACGGATTGTGAATGCCGAGCGCGAAATTCCGACTTCTTATTCCCGGAAAATTCGTCAAACGTCCGCTCTCGTTATAGGAGACCCCCCGCATAATAAGTGATTCCACATACCTGAAAATGTGACGTATCGCTGCCGGCGTCCCCTGCTTCCCGGCTGCTGGAGTCCTCCGGATTTCATTCACTCACGCTTCTAACGCCGATATTCGCGATTCGACTGTGCGGTTAATCAACGCGATGCCGACGCGATGCCGATTGAATATCTCGAGGACCGACGAGATACATTTGTTTTAATTGTACGAGACGGAAGTGACGAGCGCGTCGCGCACGGCTGCTGTTGATGGAATGAAGTCGAATACACGAGGTGCGCGAGTATTATAACACGAAGGGCAAAAAGTGTCGTCGCTCGCGAGCCGATCAACACAATCGACGCGATGTAAACATTGCGAGCCTCGGCGGCGGTTGAAGCAAGAGAGACTTACCCTTGGGCGTCTCTTCTTTTCTGAAAGGTTCCGGGACAACGAGGGGAATGCGAGAAGGCCTTTCAACTGTACGCGACATTGATTTACTTATTGATTACTGAAAATAAAGAAAATTATTCTGTCGAAGCATCGGATATTTGTTAGCTTTATGTTAATTAAAGAGGAATGTGTACGATTAGAAAATGTGTTAGCAACTAATTGTACAGTGTGTCAAAGTTGTTGTGGCGCCGTTTTCAGAGAATAATTAAAGGTCATGGTAGCGTTAAAGAGTGGAATTTCATCCCATGCGAATTTTGTCTCGTTCTTATTAAATGTGAGATTATCCGCTCCGGACAATAACTCTTCTACTTTTCATCTAATATTCAATGATGATAAATAACATTTAATTGCATTCGTTTGGCTTTTTTTATTTCGAAAATAAAAAATATATACCAGGGTGAGATTTCACCCATGACAACATCAACGTGATTTTCTCTGATGCTTTTTTCTAAAGTTCAGATATTTCGTCGACTCGCGGGATATTTATAATCGAAGTCTCGTCGCGTTAATTAACACGTGCTCCTTCGAGCGGATCGAATGCTAATCGACGGCCACTGTCAGTGCCACGAGCGAATGTCCGAAGCGGACGGGATGCTAAATTGAGAAGCAGAACGAAGGGAACGGGACGCGGGTAACGATACATCATGCGTCTCCAGATATGTCAAATCGTTTATTATACAGGAAACTTTGATACGGCTGAATATATATTCAAAGTTTTAATATTTAATACGTACTTTTATTTTTCCTGCTTCTCCCCTTCCTCTCCCGCTCTTTTTGGTCTCCCGGGCATAGTCTGGCATAGAGATGGCAACTGTGGTTGCAACACGGACATAAACCGCCTGAAAGTGGATGTAGGAAAGTGGATGCAGCATCGTAGTTCCCCTCGCAAAATGGATGTAGATGGCGCCCTTTCCCAGTACAGAAAGTCGGTGTCGCAGAAAATTGGTGTTTTAGCTATAAGTTCAAAATCAACGGTTGTTAGTCGATCATTCATGTGTGAGTATTTGTCTTATCACAAGACGGCAATTTTAATTAATTAACTTGTTTCGTATTGCTGCAGAAAATAAAGATCGGAGTGTCCAAACATAGCCGAAGCGTATGCATTTTGAGCTCGAAAAAGTTTATTATTAGTCGATTATCAAAGATCGAAGGTATCGTACAATAAAATCTCAAGTTGGAAACGTTAAATAGTATTGAATTATCCATACAACCATTATGACAGCTATGGAGCTGCTCTTCGGAATACAAATAGATCCAGAAACAGTGACAACTATCACACTGAATGACGTGAACTTGAAGACCAAAGTGAAGGAACTGAAGCGAAAAGCTGCAAAACGATGTAACCTGTCTAATGATACCTTGGGTAAAATGACTTGGTATTATTTGAAGACTGTTCTCTTTGTCAAAACCTTTGTTACTCAATATTAATCTTGGCAGTAAACTCTGAAATGAATTCATTGTCTTAGCTAAAATTTTGTTTCTTTTAATATAGTTTATTAAGAAGTTTAACATAAATTGTAATACTATTTAGGATCTCTGTTAAGAAGAGATCGAGTCTGAATATGTTAACAAAATTTATTATTAAGTAATTGCTAGGCTAATATTTTATTTGTAACTAAAGTTTAGAATTTCTGTAATATTCCTTCAGGTAGATACAAGTTTGAATAGTGTGATATTGCATATGTGTGATTAACATTAGTACATAATAATAACGAATACTATATTTGTTGACAGAACTTATTTATTGCGGACTTATATTGGAGGATGATGCTACTATAGAATCTAGTGGATTAAGAAATGGATCATTAGTATATGCACTACCGAAGAAAGAATCAGAATCACCAGTACCATTTAAGTACATACCAGAAGACAGTATCTTACAGCTTACATCAGCATTTAAGTCTTTCAATGAGACTCCTGCATTCAGAAGCGCATTACATGTGATTATTCTAGTTATATTATCTTTAACTTGTACATATGTGTGTTACTTATTCTGTTCAGTGTATTTATTTTTCATGAATCATAACTTTATATCACATTAGATATCGGTTAATACATTGATGAAAAACAGATATCTCTATGTTTCAGCGCTTGAGTAAAAGGCCAGAGGTTATAGACAATATTATCTCCTCATCTCCTGGATTGCATGAAGATTCTGTTGCCATTGCTATGCTACAGGATCCTGATTTAATGGCACACTTTACAGATATTGACACTGTCAAAAGGTGATTAATTGTAGGATCCTAATTTGCATGATGTTGTAATAATAATTAGAATTTTAATTTATTGTCCATTTTGAGACAAAATATGAGAACGTCTGTTTCTTATAATTTGCTAACATTTCACAATACAAACTTAAAATTCCGTGAGAAATTTTTCGGATAGATATATATACATCGTGAAACTTTGTAGTTCAAAATGTAAGAAATAATTTCAATCAAAACTTCTCGTCTCGATGTACATTTAGAATCGCAGAGCTACATCCTGTACTTATCGAGGCAGCTCAGAATATCGCTGCGGCTGTGCACGAAGAAGCGCACAATGCAGCGTCCAGCGGCTCGAGCAGTTCGATGGCCAGCTCCCAGGCTACTGCACGCTCTTATAGCGTGGATAACCTGAGCTTGGAGGAGGAAATGGCGCGTGATATCGCCAATTTCTTCTCTACGCATCCCATGAACGACAACTTGCGCTTCCCCGATCCATCTGCTAACAACTCCCAGGCGTCATCACAACGAACAGAGAATCCAGCGTCTTCTACGTCGACCGGAGCTGGTGGAGGTGCTAACCAATCAGCGACTGCTAACCAGAGCACCGGTGTGGTAACACCTCAGATGTTCATGGAAGCGATGAGACAAGTCGCACTGGCGACTGCCAATCCGGCGGCGCAAGCTGCATCGTCCCCGGTGGCATCCTTGTCCCCGATATTGCCACCGATCTCTCCGCAGACCACCGATCTGCAGAGACAGCTGGCGCAGATGCACGAGATGGGCCTCCAAGACGATATGTTGAACGTGCAGGCTCTACAGTTTACCAATGGCGACGTGCAAGCGGCGATTGAGCTCGTATTCAGTGGTTTCGGAGACAACTAATAGGATAAAGACTATGGAACTACGGGATTCATTGATGTAAATGCTTGGAAGACACAGGAGGAAACGACCTCTGGAGTCTCTATAGTGATGATGGTTCATCTGGACACGATTCATGTATGCGTGCTATAAATTTGTAACGCAAGTCGGTGTTGAAGCATACGCACGTAAGATGTGAGATATTGTTTTTTGTAATCGTTCACTACTCGCGCTATCGATAACGACGCAACGGGGGCTTGCAGAATTGGCGTATATCTTTCCTGAGAGGACTCCTTCACAGACTACTATTTTAATATTGTTTTCTAGGTCAGTTTACGATGTAACATTTGCATTCGTGATGGCAACGCGCAATGAGATGATTAATATTAATATGTCAATAGAAACGTATCGAATAAAATTGTAAGCTGTTATGGGTATGTTATGTATTAATTAATTAAAACGTCGTGACAACTTCACACGTTAAGGCGTGGTCCCTCTTGATTCGTCGGTGACGTCGGAAGCGAGGAAAATATTCATTTTTGCAAGATACGAAGTAGGAAGATGTATTAAAGGATTAATATTACACACATATATGTAACCTACCTTTTTAAGTTATTTTTTTTTTCATGATTCTGTCATGTTAATTTTACGATTGTTTATTGATTGTTAAAGCAAAAGGAAGGTGTTCGGTCTATTTTACAAATCTACCCGATCGATTGTAAACGTCATTTCGTGAGCACATATTTTATTTCAACGTATTTTGCAAGAATTTAGTTCCTCGCTTCTGACGTCATCAATTAAGATAACTAGTTGCTATTAGCTACCTTGTGCGCGGCTCTTATCAAAATCAATTTTTAGTGACTGAGTACGCAGTAGAGACAAGAAACTCCGTAAAGAGTTTCATTCGTTTTACAAATTGATTTCATCTGTCCATCGCGATCGGTGTCACCTCACGATTACAGCACAAGTGACCCAACAATTATTACTCGGATACGAATATTGCATAATGCTAATCACCAAATTTTAATCATGCTGATACACGGTCACGGACGTCTCGACTCATCATGTATCTCTTTCGTTCTTTTCAGCGCCTATGTATAGACAGCCCGTAGCATAAGAAAACGCGCGCCGATGTGGAAACCGGAGCCGATCGGAACGGTAATCGTTGTTAACTTAATTTTGCACGATCTCTCAAAGTAATGCTTCTTCTTTCTTGCTACTCGCACAACATATGTCGTTACGTTCGCGACGGACGAAAATCTGCTAATCAGATTTGCAAAGTGCAGCGCCGCGGTGAAAGTTCGTTCACCGCGTGCGAGCCACGTGGCGCCGACGCTTCATTGTATATAAATGTATCAGTGCCGAATGCTCTCAGAATACATGCGTCATCCGTGTCGGCAGTGACGTAGCCTGCTGCTAACACGAAATCGAATGCGTCGCAAAATGCAGTTACGCGTAAGTGTGACGTGCATGAGCATCGCTCGCGATGAGTCATCCTGCTGGTATTCTCGGAGAGTTTCGAGTGTTCACAAGTAACTATATAATATATAAGTAAGTATATATTTCAAGATAATGAGATTCGATGTCCTGCTAAGAAAAAGAGTCTCCTCTTCGGATATTCTTTTCAGGAGCCAACTAATATATTAAGTGCATAAGCAAAATAATTTTGCCTGAATTTTGACTGAAATTCGAAACTTAATTTTAACTTTTAAGTCCCGGTATTTTTCATTTTGGAAATTTAGTTAGTAATTTACTTTAATAGAGAGTTATTTCACAAGTAATGTTTCCAAAGTTCGATTTGAACAGAGATTTCCAGTAGGTAGAAGTTGAAAGAAAAATTTATGAAAACTAGAGAAATGAAAAATTGAGATGATTTCTTCTCGAAATATATAAAGTACCGTCGAATCTCGATCTTTTATTTCGAAAATTTAATGTTATTTTAATATAGGGTGATATAAAATATCAGATGAGTGTAAATTATTTTTCATATTTTATTTTAAAATTGACTTCAGTAAAGAAATGAAAAATATAGAAAGACAATGAACTTTAATATGGAAAAAAATATAAAATAGAGAGAAAGGAGAATGAAAATTTTATCTTTTCGTAATACATATAAAACAGACAGCTCCAAAAGTGAAACAACGTGGATAGATCAAAAGACTTGGATGCTTAGAGACACTATCCTGAAGGATTCTCAGCAAGGATATGGCAAGACTCGGAGATTTTAGACCCGATTGAAGCCTATAACCGCATCAAAACTCGGACCCATTGCGTCGCAAAATAATGACATATACGTATAATTGCAACTGCAATCCACGCGAGAGGGTGACGCATCACTGCTCGTCGTAATGAAAAAAAAAAAAAAAACAAAAGGAAAACATTTCAGAGAGGAGATGCAGTCGCGCTTGCAGTTGCACGTGGAGTGCGCCGGCACTGCGGTGCGTGCGTACATGCACGCGTGCGTGCTAGCTTGCGGTGCGTGTGCCGGTCGCCGGTCTCCGCGCTCGCACTTCGGAGCGAGCGAGGCGCGTGAGTAAAGGGGATTTGTGCGACGACGAGCCGTCAGTCGGAATCGGGATTTCGCGTGGTTCGGACGGTCTGCAGGAGCAGCGCGCGATTTTCTCGAGTTCCTGCTCGAAGTCAGTCGCCGCCGCCGCCGCCGCCGACGACGACGACGACGACGACGACGACGACGACGCACACGCACACGCACACAACACAGAGTGTATACGTGTATCGACTGCACGTGGTGCTCGCGCAACGTCGGACACCTATACACACACAGCGCATACACGCGTGTGGCCGCACGCTCTCTACGTACTCGAGCGGAGGCGCCGGGTGGAGGAGGAAGAGGAAGAGAAGTCGCGGAGAAGGAGGAGAAGGAGGAAGAGGAGAAAGACTTAGCGAGAGATCCGTGAAAGGCTCTCAGCCGGCGACCTCTCGCCTCGACGCGATGGTCGCGTCTGCGGACGGTTCGTTAGCGGGCTGAAGCACCAGGAGGCGGACACGTGTTCAGCGGCCGTAGGAGCGACGGGAAGCCGATTATTCATAGTGCGAGAGGTTATGGCGAGGAAATCTGCAGGCTCCGGCGTCCGGGTGTCCTGTATCTAACGGGCGACCTCCTCCTGGAGTTTTGACACGAGTTCTGAAAGGTGACAGCGTACAGCGATTGCTTGCGAGTCATGTTCTCGTCGCGTGAGAACTTGAGGTTTCTCCCGGCCTTACTTTCCCCGGTGTTTCACCTGGAGGATCACTCGCTGCGACAGGGAAACATCGGGCGAATAATCGCAGCGAGGCTCCAATGCGAATACGACTCCTTTGGTGCTTTCTCCGTCGCTCGCGACTGTCCGCGACGGTCTGATGCTCGACGACGATGACACGGCACCGAGCACCGGCCTCCGGACAGACACGTTTCGCGCTGAACACGCGGCGAGAATGCGGTCCCTCCCGCCTCCGATGAAACGAGCCGGTCGCGTGCGACGGTGAAGCGTGGAAGCAGGGCCGGTGCGAGACTGTCTGGGTCCTCCTGCAAGCGACGCGGCCGTTCGTCGCTTGACGCTAAACTCTGAAGCTCAGTGTTGGCACCGTCAGCTGGAACAATTCTGTCACGTGGAGTCGTGAACGTCCGCGCTCGGGGTGCGATTTCCTCGACCGATTCCGAGGCGCGAGGCGACGTCGCCAGGCCTTTCGCCAGGACCTCGCACCGGCCCTGTTCACGACACTCGTATTCGCAATAAAGACCACGACACCGTCGCTCGCGACCGGCCCGGCGTTGCTAAGCGCGCCGGCAACTTTTAAAAGTCCGCCCGTCTCTTCCCGGTTTCCCGCGAGGCGGGATTAAGCTCGTCACTCAATCTTGTCTCTCGATTTTTCCTCGCTATTATTCCTAACGATATTCCGGCTCGACGTTGATGTGGATTTTCGATTTCAGGAGAGACCTGTGGGTCTTCTTAACCTTCAGACTGCGAGAGCGACGCGAATAATATGCGCCGAGCGAAAGTCTTCATTGTGACGGGGGCAGGCATAATCTTGAGAAAGGAGCATTGAAATTCAAGAAACGAAGCAACCAAAAGTCATAATTCTGAAAATTGAATGCAACTTTTCAATCTCTCAAAATATTAGGAGCTCAAAGTTACCCCGCAGAGTCGAAATTGATGCGCATGGCCACTTATGCCGCGTCGTGATTAGAATTACTTACACAATTTTCCCGCCTTATGTGTACATCTTGGACTAAAAATGTAGTAGTGGCAATTCGATTATTTGTATTAGATTTTTAACCTGACACGCGCGCCGAAACTTTTCCTTAAACGTACGGTCGTGGGCAGAAAGATTGTCCGTAATGTTTGTGCGAGTTTCCGAATGTATCCGTCTAGTCGAAGGAATTTCTTTTTTCTAATGAGATAATTCTCTCATTAGGCAAGACGAATGCTTTGTGCAGCTCATATGAAAGACACGGACAACCTTTCTGTCCGAGGTCATTCATGGCAATTAGCCGTTATTTTATCGTCTAATTGACCGTATATCGTTAATATATTTTTATATTCCTCGTCTCCATCTCTCAAATAGGTGTTACGTCGATTTACGTGAAATACCGTCGACATTATTATCCTTGCGGAATAAATACTAATTTTGATGTGGCTTTGCCAGACTTCATGCTTCCAGTAGTTCGCAAAATTGGTTCCGAACTACTGGACATTCAGTCTTCAGGATTATAACTTTTCGGGTCGTTGTTTTCTCCAATTTCGAGATTCTGACTTTACAGGATTACGCCGCTGTGAGAAGACAGCTCGAATAGCGTCCTTATTCGTTAACATCGCGGAAGTGATACGTTGTGACAGCTCCGCGCCACACTTCGATCGTCTCGCTTCCGAGCGCTCCGCAGTCTAAGGATTAAGGATACCCGAGGACCGTAGGGTCCGCTCTTCGCGAAACGGGTTCTCGTTTTGCGAACACCTTTTACTTCGCCTGGGCGGTCGTTTTTACCGAAGTATCCTGTGCTACATACGCTTCGTATTTCATAAGATAAAGCACGGCGCTCGAAGAGGCAGAGCGCGGCCTTCGACCGTGGCGCGACGGGACAAAAGAGCAAATCGAAAGTGTGTGAAATTGTTTTGCAGGGCGCACGACCTTCGTTCATGAAGGCGAGATCGAAAACGCCGAGCAAAAAGCCGAGTAAAAATTTAAGTTACTTTGCGGAATAGAGTAGTAACTTGCACACATGGCGGAAAGCTGATGGACGCCGTGACTGCCTTATTACAGTTAATTCAGATTCTCGAAACGTGTTTCGGGACGTGTACGGTTCGAGGTCAGTGGACAAAATCAGATGTTCAAAGGGTACCGCGAGTGCCATAAATGTGACCGTTTCGTGTTACAATTTTCCTCGGACAAAGACAGACAAGATCGTATGGTACACTGCTGTGAGTCTTCAAGGAGACAGCTGGATGCTGATGAGACAGTATTAGGCACTGAATGATTGAGATTTTGCTTGACTGAAGTGATTTTTAAATTAACCAAGTTAATTTCGTCCTCGGCTTTAAACTTTATTTAGTTAAAAAATGTATTAATTTATCCAACCCTCTCTCTCTCCCCCTCCCTCCCTTCCTCCCTCTCTCTCTCTCTCTCTCTCTCTCTCTCTCTCTCTCTCTCTCTCTCTCTCTTCTCTCTCTCTCTCTCTCTCTCTCTCTCTCTCTCTCTCTCTCTCTCTCTCTCTCTCTCTCTCTCTCTCTCTCTCTCTCTCTCTCTCTCTCTCTCTCTTTCTCTCCGTCTTCCTCTCTCTTTCTTTCTCTTTAGTAGTTAGATACTAGTTAAATTTGATTATTAATTTGCCAATTATTTTAGTTAACTAGATAATTTGAGTTATTTAGGAAGGTTATTTCTCATCGCTCAGTGCTCAATATTGTGACGAGACTGTTATGTTTATCAGTCGTGCTTTCAGCACTTGGAGATGTGTGACTTTGACAAAGATAACAATCCCAGCAGCATCTGTCTGTCTCCTTGAAGGCTCTCTCTCTCTCTCCAGCATATATGATAGAGAGGAACTGAGGAAGGACGCACACACACACACACACTCTTTCTCTCTCTCTCTCTCTCTCTTTTTCTCTAGAGAAGAACCCGTTTGACATTTCCCCGAAGTCTTTCGAATCTCCGCGACCGATATATCATCGGGGGAGTTTAATCTCGCAAGATTAAGCTCTTATCCGTGTTACAACGCGCGAATGTGTTCGTTCGAGCAGCAGATTATCCCGACAGAAATGTGCCCCAAGCGAAGTCAATTCCGAGAACCGTTTGCATTTCGTTTATTCTTGACAAAGGTATAGTCCGTGACCGTTAAATTATTTCACGTCGAGGTTGGGTAAGATTTCGACGTCAAT